ATGTAATCTCATCTAAAACATAACTTTAAAGAAATATTTGTCCACATAATTACAGTTGCAACTTTATCATAAACCTTTCAAATTAAAAATAAAACAAAAATCAGTGAGTTTTTTTTACATTGCACAAAAAATATATAATTAATTCCTCTTATGTCAATTGAATCTAACGTTTACATAAATAAGCAGAGAGCTCTGTGATGATGGAAACTTTGTTGCTTATGCAATTTCTAAAATAGTGCTTTGAGCTCTTTCTAAATTAAACTAAAACATAAAAGAAGCATCCAATAAGCTATATACTGAAGCGGGCGATATACAAAATTGAAGAGACATATTTTATTGAGAAAAACTGGGTTGTGCTATCAATTTTAAGTGGATGTGATTGCACACTTACTTTTCTCAAACTATATAAATTCAAAATATGAACTTCTCAGAGAGACCATAAACAAATCAAATTTCAAGGAGACAAATTCAAAACCTTGACTCTAAAAAAAATTAAGTTTCTATTCTATTGTACACATTCTTACATGTGAAAACATGTATCTATATTATGTTTCCCCTTTATGTCACAAAGATGTTCTTAGTAAAGGCCACATTCATCGCCAAGCAACCCAGTCATATGAAAATCCATAGCCTACCAAGTATGCCTCTTCTCAAAGGCGCTCACACAGTCAGGTTTTTTTGTTCCAGTGTTTTCTCTTCCTTAGTACACTGCTGAGAGGATTCAAAGTGACTTATCGATTTACAATGTGGCTCATTTCAAATGCTGCCACCGAGGCATAAAAAAGGACGATCTTCTGCAATAATTACATCCCATTCTATAAATACAATAAACACAATTTGAATAGATGCCAAACTGCTTGCAGTTTTTGAGTTGTTTGGTTGCATTATGTCCCAGTATTAATAAAATATAAGATCTTAAGGAGAACTGCAAACTACAAAGATCCCTTTCTTCCATGTATCACTGTATTAGCAGCTTCTCTGATCATTCAAAATAAATGGTTATTTTTAAAAAATAATCTGAAGAATTGAGGTTTGTCTGAGCCCTTTTAAATTGAGCTTACTGTCACTATGTGCTTTAGTAGTTTATTGACTATTCATTTTTCTGCAGATTTTCCCTGCAGCTTTTCCTGTTAGAACTGACTCCTGCAGGGCACAAAGCAAAACAGAACCAACCAGACAAACAAGGACAGGATAGGAAGCTTATACCTGATTACTGTTGAAGTTTCAAGTGTTCAATTAGTTTGGGGGCTATTTTGTTCTATTTGTATGAAAGCAGCTGGTTTCAAAATATCTGTTTTCTACGGACGGCTTTTTGTTTACAGTAACGGTAGAAAGAAAGCAGTTTATAAAATGCTACGTATCACAGTCACATTACAATTCAGATAAATCTGTTGTACATTTGTTTTATTCATGCCTTTACATTCTGAAATGTATCTAAACATTTTTTCACCATACTTTCCATGCATTCTACTGTGGTGTGAAATTGAACTGGCAGGTTGAACATTGTCATGTAATATGTCAGTCTGTTCACTCCCACTTGCCTTAGTGAAAAGGTTAAAACTGTGTATCACAGGCTGCATGGGGACACAGTTGGCTTTCTTTTTGCAAGAGAGTTAAGACTGAAAATCTGCCAGAACTTAGAACAGCTCAAATTGAGGGCATTAGTACTGCTATTAATGTCACATCTAGGTCATTTCGATCTTCCATAGTCTCAGAAAAGAACACCTCTGAACTTCTGTTCAGTTTTATTGGCAGAGGAAGGCCATTTACAAGCAAATCATGTGTTTCTGGTTTTCTTCTCCTCACGGTGAAATGCACTTCACAGCAGACTATCACACTGCGAACCAATTACAGATCCTACAGACATATGGAGCTGCTTTTTTAAGTCGACAGTGCAGTCAGCTTTCATTACCTGGCAGTGTCTGTGGCTGTATGAGCAGCATTTGACCACATATGTCTGTCTGGCAGCACAGGGTAAAATGCACCAAGCAAGCAATCAGCTATGCAGATGCATCCGTGTCTGTCGGGTACAATATCATTTTTACTAAGGTTTCTTACAGGCATCCTTGGTTGATATCTGACAAACATCTAAGAAAGAAACACCAGAGTGCAGAAATATATTTGACTTATTACTAACTAATTCAGTTCACACTGATATTTTAGCAGTATTTTCATAGGACAGACAGCTTTGTCTATTTAAGACGAGTGTGGTTTTATGTGGTCGGCTCACCAGAAGCTCACACAACCCACTAACCCACCACCTCCAACTAAACACACACATGTTGGGTTTACTGACCTAATTTACTTCTTTGTCTCACATCCCCTGAAAATCATATTTGCCTTGAAGAGGGAGCTGTCTGTTTGGTTTAAGAGGCATCAGAAGAGAAGAATTGCTGATAGATTGTTGTAATCATTTCAAGGCTGGGTTTCATTTTGTTACATTTATAGTTGTGTGGCTGCGTTAAAGGAGTTTGGATCAATTTTCGGATGGGAACACGTGTGACTAGAACTCAAGGGCTCAATGGAGAGTGCAAGGTGTCCTTCCATTATCTGAAAAATAGCAAAGTGATAACACAGTGATAACTACTAAACATTCTAATACTGCAAAGCTCATCTTATTTATTTTTCATGCTTATTTTCTTAGAATTTATTCTTGATAAAACTACCAACTTATTTGGACCGTATATTGTGCCACTGTTTAATTGTATTAACTACTGTGAGTTAACTATTTACATTAACTTTATCAGTGTTAAAGAAAAGGAGGAAATAGCAGTACCCATTTCATACCACCTCCCATAATTTCAAATCTTTGACCTCCTCACCTGCACAAAGATTGCACTCACAATCACATACTATGGAAGTGGAACAGTGGAAGACATAAAACAACTTTTGTAAGCATCTTCCATTAGAGATATCAATCAATCTAAAAATGCATTGTTGGGTTTGATGGAAACATTTTATGTAATCTCAGAGGATGAACCTAACCTACTCAAGCTTGATTGCATGCAGAACCTCACAGGTGGGTGGGGGAGCTATGCAATCAAGTAACGAGAAGTTCCTAAGTGCACGGACATTAAAAGCTATATCTCAGACTTTTACTCGATGTAGTTAGCATTTCATTATGCTCATCTCCAGATCTGAAAGTGCCCTACAGAATAAGTTAAGGGCTGGGCTGCAGATGTTTTGGAATCATTTTGCAAATGTGAGGATACTTTTGCAAAAAACTGCAATTTCCAAATGTAATGTTTAGAAAAATTAAGAACATAAAAGACTAAAAATTGCAACTTCACTTCTCCATAATGAAGGTAAGTCTTATCAGATGGACAAAATAATGCAAGAGAAGGTAACAAGGAAAGGGTAAACATTAAACTTACCTAAGATACAGAGTATATATAATTGGAAGAAGTTACCACAATGTCCTTTAATGTCTGGACATTTAAAGCTGTGTTCACTTGTAATAAATGACACTGTAATATATACAATGTGAAAACTATGCAAAATTGGAAAAATGAATTAATCTGTCATGCAATAAATGACTGAAGTATGAAAATAAAGTAAACCTATTCAGAAAAAAAAAATACTTTCGGGTTATGTTTGTTTCTTTCTTTGAAGCAATTTGATCTTCTCTGATTTCGCAGTAGAATTGTGTTCTTGTCAGATCCTTTAAAATCACCTGCACTTTTCTCTACATAAATGACTTAAAGATGTATTTTACAACATTTCCACAATCATTGCAGTTTCTTTGCTGCTGCTTCAGAAACAAATCAAGCAAAATTCTCCCCTCCTATATGACCTGCAGAATACAGAGACCTGCTGCAGGTCATTAATCTCAACTCTTGGGCTGAAGGCAATCTGCCACAGCTGTCAAAAATATAAAAAGCAGTTTATGAATATATTTTTTTCAGATAGCTTAAATGGATGAATAAACAGAACTATTGATACAGTAAATAAGGAAGGCGCACATTAGGTCTGGGATGTGTTACTGTGGAAACATGAACCCTGATTTTCTATCTCAGTAGGCAATCAGATGTTCCTCCATCCTATACTGCCCTCTTCTGGACAAAGTTATTTCAGTTTTCCCTTTACTTTTAGTCATACTATTTCAGATTAGGGGCTACAGTCCAAAATCATGCTCTAAAATGCTTCAAAGAATGAATGTGAGTGTGTGATTGTATGTTTTCCATGTGGTACTTTGATGGACTGGGAACCTGTCCAGTGTGAACCCCACCTCTTACCAAGTGACTACTGGGATAATCAACACTCATCGGTGGATGTGTGAGAGTAACTTAATCTATGTCTATCTAGAAGAACTTAATCTATGTCTATCTAGAAGAAAATTAGAACATTAGAAAAACTTTTCAAATGGTTGGATTCAAACAGAGAGAAAGAGAGAAAAATCACAACTTATTGTATTTACTACTTAGATTACATAAAATATCATTGAAAAACTTCTACTTTATTTTAAGTACAAGATCAGAGCATATAAATCTGGAGCTAAAATAAGGCCTCAGATGTTTGTTTATTATAAATAACTTTAAAAAAAATATGAAACTCAAGAAATTACAAAAAGAAAATAATTGCAATGTTGTTATTGTGATTTTACATTTCTTTTCCTATTTAACTCCCTTAGATGATTTCATTTTTTAAACTATTAAAGAATAATCACAGTTTATCTATTATCATTCAACAATAATTAAAATGCTTCTTACTACTCTTTGGCTTAGCATATACATTCTCAACCATAGTTAAAATTTGTAAAAAGAAATTATGAATTTGAGATTTTATCACATAAAACAATATACTGATGCACAGTAAAAAAAAAAGAAGAACAAATAAAAAATGATAAATTATTCAGCACTGTTATCGAATAGTTGAGTTTTCTATTGTGGTGTAAACCTCATTCATAATAGTTACTTCCATCACACAGCACAGAACACTCTTTGCTCATATGACTCACAATGCCAAATATTTCCACAATGAGCTGAATCGAAAATAACATTTTAGCTATCGTCTTTGTTGGGAAAGACCTCCTTTAGACTGTCTAAAGCGTCCTCTTGAGTGATCTTCTTCCACTCTTCAGGAATCATTGCCGGCTCCTGATTGAATTCCTCTGCAAACTTTTCATTGAATCTTGCCAACACATACCTATGAATAAAAAAGTTTACATGTAAACTATTGAACTGGATCATATTTTTACATTTCTAAAAAATAAGTAATTCTTCTATTCTTATTTCCCCTCTTATTGTACAAAAATTCTGTATATATTTTCATATAAATCGTGCTTATATTAAGATATTGATGAACAACACAGTACCTCCAGTAATGACTGCCTTTCTGGCTCTTTGGGTCATCAGAGGAATTGCTCCAGTTTGGATGTAGAGAATGGACGTCCTTGCATATCATAGATAGATCCTGTGGGTCTTTGGTGTTGCTTTGGTTTGTACAACTGGTACTGGGCACTGAATGAGAGTCATTGGGCAACAAGCCTTTGGGGCGGTGGAGCGAAGCCTTGTGAATCTCATGCCCAAGTTCCTCATTCTCACAGGGGGCTCCGCACAGAGGACACTGCTCGGCACAGCCTTTTACTCTTTTGAAAAGATAATCTTGGGGCTGAACTGGAAGGCAGTTGAGAAGCTTGATGATGTTCACATTTTGGGAGAACTCCTGGACCAGATCCAGACGCAACGTGGCCAGTAACTCTATCAAACATTTGACGAAACGATCCCACTCTGTGGTGATGCTAAAGAGCGGTCCATCCAGAGGTTCTTTGGTGACACAAACATGTGAATCTCCTTCTAAAATGAGACACACTGTCTCAAGCAGTGGCTTTGTGTCACTCAATATTCCGTTGCTGCCTTCTGTTATTTGGCTCACAGCTGATGCAACCTTCCCTACTATTTCTCCTAGTCTCTGTTGCCTCCATTTACCCAAGATTTTTGACTCAGAGAGGTGAGCCACCACTGTCTCGTGGATCTTCCTCTGTCTAAAGATATCATATGTCAACAAATATTCTACAAAGCTCCCAAAATGGTCCTCTTTTATTAGCTCTTCCAGTAGACTTCGTTGGAAAGCTTGTGGAGACTGATACTGCACAGCTTTGTCTTTAATTTCCTCTGCAATTTGCACCCCTAACGGTCCATTGATGTAGTCAAGCACTGTTGGCTTAATAATCATGGACGTGAATGCTCGGGCCACCCTCTGGCACTGGTCCCTTTTCCTGAAGAGGTAGATAAACTCCGCCAGGTACCTATTCTTGTTTGCAGAAATACTCATCAAAAGTTCCCTGTCCTTGGAAAAGCGGTCATGTAGCTTTTGGAAGTCTTGGCATGCAGCATTACAGAGATAGATTTTCAGATCCACTTCAAAAGCTGACCTGATTTCCATAGATTTTTCTTTCAGAGATTTTTCTACATTTTCTAAAAGCTCCACAATGTAGCTGCATGTGAAATCTGCGGGTAAGCTGCATTTATCTGCAATAAACTGATTGCATTCGTCTATGACTTTAGATGCTGTTTCTTGAGCTTCCAATCTTTGCTGTCTGTTGTTGTCTTCGAACATATGTTTTAATCTACTGCGGTATCCAAAGTGCTCATCGTAAACTTGGAAATCAGAGTTCTGGTTTTCACCAAAGGTGTCAAGTTTTTTCTCGTGTTTCTCGAGGTCACGACTGATTAGATTCTGCCTTAGAGTTTCTAACACTGCTGAGGTAATGTCATCAGTTTCTGAGGGCCTAAAGTTGAATTTAGATAACGTCTTACTCCACACATCTTCAAACTCTTCTTCTAGTTCATTGTCCTGAAGGAGAATTTTTGTTGACTTGCTTGTCTCCGTCAGAGCAAGCAGTTTAAACTCTTGTTCTTCTTCCAGCAAGCTCTCGAAACTTCTTAGTTGGGTGAGAGAACAATGGTTCTCGGTGATTGTTTCCAACCTTTGCATAATTTCTTCCTCCACTTGGTTCTGGAGTTTAATCACATTGCTCATTAGGATTTTTCTGAATACCTCAGTATTTGATTTCAGGACATCCTTTTCCTTCAGATAAGTGTCTACTTTTGACCCCATTTTGTTAATTTCTGATTGGACTTCTTTTCGGGCTTTATCCTTCATTTCATCCAGAAGGTCCTTTTGAACAGCAGCATCAGACACTTTTGTGGAAAAGATTTTCAGTGAAGCCTCCCTGAGCCAGTTTTCCATGTTTTCCCGTAAACTAGCCTCCCAAATGGAAAATTCTGCACACAGTAAAGCAAATGCCAAAGCAATATCTGTGTCTTTTAAACCAATGTAAAATGATTCTGATCTCACAGCATCCCATATTGCACAAAGGTGCCCCATGAATTCTGGCAGACCTGAGGGTTTGGACTTGGCTGCACAACTCTTCAGAGCCTGAAACAGATTTTCCTTGAGCTTCAACACAGCCTTGCTGTAGTGTGTGTCAACTGGAACAGAGACACACCTGTTGGACCAAGGCCCTTTGACACAAGTAATTGTCATGGTTCCACTTTGGTTGTCAGCACCTCCACTATCCTCATTTTCAGTGTGTAGTATCTCAGAAATGTGACTTAACTGTGAGGTTTGTAATTTGCTATTCAGGTCCTCATCCTGGGTCAGGAGTTGACAAATAGGTAAGGAGTCATGTTCTTTTGTGCGTAGGAGCGCACCAACCATAACACTTAAGGTGGTTTCAACCTCATCACTATGTGGAGAGATGTTCTGAAGTAAAACGTCACTCAGTCCTGTTGCAAGAGTTGCCATCTCATTGTCGTGGATAACTGTATTTGGAGTTTTGTCAGCTGAGACTGAACAGAGACCCTCCACATCAATTACAAGCAAAAAATCACACTCTAAGTCTATTTTAAGTTTATCAGGGACGCACAATGCCATCATGTAAACCCCTTTACTCATTCTTCCAGTACTATTTGGGAATTTTAACCCAAACGATGCAGAGAGAACTTCACCATTCATGGCATCATGCACCCCAAGATTTGTCAGCACTCGCATCCTCAACTGCTCTTGAGGAAGTCGGCGTTTGAGCTCTGCAAAGACACAGCCTAGCCAGCATAAAGGGATATTTGAGGCATCTCCATCCAATATTTCAAGAGGAACCCCATACAAAAGTAGATCTGTGGCTAAACTCGGCAAACCCAACACTTTTTGATTCCCACTACTGGGGCTGATATGTGTTAGCTCAAAAATGAGGCCCATCTCGCGCAAAAAGTGCTCAGGACCTAGTGAGGGTGGATCAGGTTCAGGTAGGTGGGAAAACAAGGTTTTGTGTGCTTCATTTGATGCTTCATCGCTCATCTGTAATTTAGCAGAAGAAGCTGAATCTGACTGAGTGCTTGTGGGCTCTAATTGATCATGATGTTCTCCTCCACAGTTCCAAGTGCCATTTTCTGCCGTATCTACATGACATGTTTGATCATCCGAGATCTGATGTGATATTTCCTCATTAGAGCAGTGCTCTTCCGAAGCCTGCGGCTCTGTGCTTACAGGTGGATCTTCAGTCTTCTCATCTATTGTTGATACAGAGCAAAAGCTATCACTGTCTGCCACACTCTCACGGTCTCCATTTCCAAACTCTTCCAAAGGTTCAGGCATGCCATCTTCCGTTTCTGTTTGCTTTTGTTTTTCAATCTGCATCAGGTGAAGCCTCAGTTTAAGCCAAGTGAGGAAAAAAGTCCTCTCTGTTTTATCCCTTGTAAAAAGAGCGTCAATGAAAATCTTCATAGCAGGTGTCATTTTATAGCTGCTCAAGTGGGCTATGACGTCTTTCTTCTCTCTTTGCAGTTCGGGGTCTATTTCTTTCCCTTGTTTTTTCTGTTTACATTCATCTTTGTCCAGTTTTGCCAATTTGCCCCACATTTGCCCCTGCAAAGGTAGCTGTTTCATCCGAAAATCGGCATATCCCTGGTCTAAACCTGTCAGCATTTCCTCCACAATGGCCATTGCCTTTTTACAGATTGGACCTTCATCCACACTTAGGCCTATGTCTAATGCTAGCTTTGATGCTGCCTCCAGTGTAACAAATTTCAGTTTATCTGGCAACATACTTTTCAGGGTTTTACACAGCTCATTAGCCACTTCCTCCTCTGTCAAATTGCTTCCAGAAAGCACATTCTCTTCAGGGAGCCCCATCTGCTGCTTGAGACTCACATCAACAAATCCCACTGTACTTTCCTTTTTCATTTCCATGTCTGTAAGGTCAATCAGGATAATCTTACTTGCCATATTTATGCAGGACACAAGAAGTTGTTTTTCTCTTTCCCTAAGATCTCCGCAGAAAACAACCACAGCTGAAGATGCTTGACATAGAAGACTGAGGCTTTTTTCATGTGTGCTGGCATCACCACGTAGATTAGAGACCACTACTGGAACAGGGAATACATCTTTGTCAATTTCTCCACTGGGTAGATGCCATCCAATCTCTACCAAGCCATTGGATATTCTTCGAGGTATTTTCCCTCCCTCCATGCCCTTGTGGACAAATGTTTCCTGATGTGCTTGGAGTCCATTTAGGACGTAGTTTAGCGTCTGGGACTTGGAGATACTGCAACGGCCCAGCCTCACACAGGACACCATCGGCATGCTTATGCTTGCCAAATTGCTTTCTTGGACTCTTGCATTTCCATCCAGAGCATGAGACCTCCACTGGCTAAAAACACCTCGAAGGGGCCACATAAGGAAGTTACTAGGTTCTGCAGGATCAGTGCTTGGAATAACTAGAGGTACAGCGAACTGGCATTGCACCATACGAACAGTCATGTCTTGCTGGAGAAAAGAGTTAGCAGACTTATAGACAGACGTTACAAGATCAATGGAATTGATGGCAAATTGACCCTCATCGTCATTTCCATTGAACTTTTCCCCAGGTAAGTTATCGTCATTGTTAGGATTGTCTTGTTGTGACAGGCATCGAGGACTCCGGGCATCTTGACTAAGCAACCAAAGTCGGCGGAGGAAAGCATTGGGCAGATCTTTGACCTCCAGAGGAGCTTTCTCCTCCAAAGTCCATGTACTGATATCTAATATAGATGCTGGGTCAAGTGGAGCAGTGCTGTAAGTATCCAGGCCAAGCTTTTGTAGAATGTCATTCTGGACATTGTCCTTTGGTGGCTCTGGTTTGGAAAAACAAAACAGAGCAAAAAAACAGTGATGACCCAAACTTGTGTATTAACAAAATATCTTTGCTTTCTTTTTCCTAATCAAATAAATAAAAAATGCTACGTGTTGATATAGAAGATTACATAATGGTAAACATGAAAAAAGATTACCCCTTTAATTTAAACAATGGCACAAAATCATTACAGCAAACAAGCCACTAAATTTCAGCTCTGAGCCTCACTTGAAAAAAGGTTATCCCAAGGTAGAATTATCACCAGAATTTACACTTGCTGTCACAAAAGCAATTACCATTAATGGATAAACACATAAACAAAATGTGAGCACTGCCATGGGATGTTTGTTCTAATTTTCTTTTGTCCATGAAACTACTCCTCCATTAAAATATACCCCACCCTACTGAAAGTTACTGAGTGCCTCTGGAGCATTCCGTCAATTTAAATGCATGTTGCCTTTTGTAAACATAATAACTACAGCTGCAAGCACCATTAATTGTAGCAGTTGAGATTAAAAGAAAGAAAAACTTCAGAAACTTCTACACATTTAGTGGAAGACTGATTTCTTTCAAATTTAACACAGAACTCCATAGAAAGTGGTAATCGGACTCCATAACTCCTCCTCTTATGGAAACCCTCTATGGTGGATCTGAGTGCAATTCTTTTCAAATTAAAAGCTTTTTCATGGATAATCAACATATATGCGATAGATTAAAAAAACTGTAAGAAAACTTTGATGCAGTCCATATGTCTATTAAATAAAGTTGATCTGTGTTTTGCAGGATAAATGAACATACTTTTAATATTTTTTAATATAATTAATTTGACCTGTTTTGATTTAACATATTTGTGTGGCGTGGGGCATTCAGATGTCTAATATTTCTCCATAAACCATGTTCTTTCATTTTTATAGTAAACAAAGCTTGTTCAGCTTCAATCCCAGAAAAATAACACAACAAAGGAGCAAACGTACTTTTCTTCTTGCTGCTCAGCCTCTTCGAAAGCTTGAATGACATTATGAATCTCTTTGAGTGGTCCCCTCTCCGTTTTAAATGACTTTGCTTTCCCAAGACAGGCACATCATCAAAGGTTTGAAAAGAGGGGCTGGTACCCTGTGATTAAAAATGAATTTTAATGTCATTTTCACACAGGAAACAACACAAAATGAAAAGCTTCTGTAGCCCAATAATGCCTCACAAATCTCCAAATGTGAAAACATCCATTGTTCAGGTGAGATTGAATGCATTTTAATAGTCATTGTGGAAAGTCAGAAAAGAGCTTGTTTGTCCACACTTTTGTTTTCTTGAAATGTGTCACTGGAATGAGGCTCTTCCTCATTATTTCAACAAAAGGCTGGCGTCGGATTGAAAACTTTCTGAACAAAGTCTCCTCTTAGGTTCACCAACAAAATGAAAAGTTTTAAACTCAGACGCAGTGAGTTAACAATGAAACAAACCATGTTGACACAGCTTTGAGCTCACTGATAGACGTTGATAAGACTAAATTCAAATGATACATACAAAGCTAATGAAAGAAACAAACACGTCGACCATTTAGGCACAGTGTCACACCACAGTTTTTAACACTGCAAAAAACAACAACAAATAGGACTACAAAAACTGAAAATATGCTAATTTTGCCAGGTTCCAAGACATTATAGACTTGAATGTGACTTTTAAAATGTTACCAGGGCTACATCTCCTGTTATGTGTTACTGTCACAAATACTAAAATATTTCATTTTTTACATCTTATGAAATCCCTTTACATTGTATGTTTTAAGATTTTCCTTTCCAAAATTTGGAAAACTTTCATTTAGACATTGTTAATTTAATAGGATTCTTACCTGCTACTTGTCTTGCAAATCGCTCAATAATGGCTCTAAAGTGTGTTCATTTGCCAGTGTCTTCCTGTTAGGAATGCTCTTATACCTGCCTGATCAGTGATAAAACACATACCTGACCATCTGCCTCACCACAGCCACAAAAGATCATTAATCACACCCACACAGATGAACAGCAACACATCACAGGAAACAAATGTTAAACAGGACTGAGTTGACATTCAATCTTGATAACTGTATTGAGTTGAAGGCATTCACAGTTCTGCTGATAAACATTCACATACATGCCACAAGGATCAGTGTTTCTCCGTAGGGGTCAGAGGCAGGATTACAGCCAATGACGCACACAAAGCGTAGGTCATGCCTTCAGATCCCTCAGATACAAGTTTATCTGATGTTGATAAAGAAATAACTAACATGCCGATGCTTCCTTTTATTCTTAAAAGACTCCTCTCTGTCTGTACGTCACTTATGTTGCCTTTATGTGTGAGTACTTTTCCTAGAAAACCCCCATGGCAGTTTTGATCTGTCCAGTTTTACCAGCTTGCTGGTACTTTATTTCTGAGGAACTGACGTTGACCAAATATTTTTAGATAAAACTGAGGACTGACATTCAATGCAACTAATACTGTGCTTGATTTCTATTTCCTGAATTTTCTTCTGCTAATAATTCCAATTCAGTCAATTTGTGGCACTGAGACATACTTCTTTTGTCTCAGTCAGAATTCCTAATGTGGATTAAACAAAGGAAAGGGTAGAGTGAGTTTTTGTGAATGAATAAATGGCCAAGTAATTTAAACATATAAAGGTTCACTTCAAGGCTGTTTGTTTACTTTTTAGATGCCTGTGTGGACCATTTTTTCTGCTTCAAGGTTTTAGCCTGATCATGGTCCTACGCTTAGATTAGATTATATAAAATGGGTGTTGTACTATGGAAATATAAAAGACATTATCACCAACTTCGAAAACAACAGATAATATACTGACAAACAAACTCAGATTCTCAGGAAAAATAGCCAAGGAATCGCAAAAGAAAGCAACCCTAACCCCCACGATCCTGTCATAGATTGGCTAAAAAGGAGGATACATAAAGACAGCAACTGACTAAAAAAGTTGTATGTGAGGCCAATGAATCCAGATGTGACAAAGAAGGAGAAAGCAAACTTAGAATAGGCATTTCAAATGAAAAATAAAAATAGGAACTACCTGAAGACCAGAAAATAGAATCAGGACATTAGAAAAACCCAGATCAATGCTGGAAAAAAATAAGAAAATAAAACATGACATCATGACAAGCTGCCAGAAACCACTACTCAGTTGGAAAACGACATGGTTTTAAGTCGTCCAGGCCAGCACATAGTAGAGGTTATATATCAAAGCATTTTTTTTTCTTTTTTTTTTTTTCTAGAATTTAACAATGAGCCAAAGAAAGGAAAACTGAAGCAATTTGAGACAGGTTTAATTTTTTCCTGATAAAAAAACAACCACACTATATTCATATTTGTAAAGATTTAAGAAGATTATGACAGGAAAAGCAAAATAAATATCCCAGAGAAGGCAATTTTTTCTAAGTAGATTATACCAGATTTGTTTAGATGAAGACTTACACACAACACCTGTGAACACGTTACAAGCAATTAGAAAAATAATGGTAGATTAAAATGTTAAAAGATGATTTTGGGGATGCCTTTAGTGCTCGGGTCATGGTCATCATCTCTTGGTCAACTTCAGACAAATCTAGCATCCGGACATGTACAACCACAGCGTACAATTTTTAAAACCAGTGTCAGGAAAAAGACTTTTCATGTTCTTTCCTTATTGTGACGTCTGGATAAAGGGTTTTCCTGTGGTAACTGATGAAATGGTACAAGCACACCTGAGGGATAAGCGTTGTACTGAGGAAAAGATTACAGCTTCTCTATTTCGGTCCTGCAAAGCTCTTTAGCAGTCTTACCCCGATGTATCAGACTGTGAGTGTGAAGTGCATGTCTGTATGTTCCAGTGAGACTACTCAACACTGTTCAGCTGGCCTTGCTTTGAGCAGCCTTTACTGCGTTGCATTCCTGATTTCTCGGATCTGATTCTGCGTGGACCTAATTTGCCCTCAGCTGGACTTTTGAAAAACAAGGAAAACATTACGGATCAATACAAACTCTAAAGGAATAGTGGCAAAGATGCTGATAACTATGCTAACCGCCATGTACATGATGGTCAAAGTCGTAGAATCGGTAAGATCATTATATCTATAGATGGCTAACAAATGAGAACTGCATTTGAAATATTTTTTGAGGAACAACGTTACATTTGTTTGTTGCAGATTATTGAAAACAGCATTTTTTATAACCTACAACTTTGTGTTATATATAAAGTTTATACAGATCGCATCAAAGTCTGAATATGATTATTCCAAAATATGTTGTTGATGCCATTTGTCAGTGTCTCAAATAAGACCTGAAATCAAACGCTGAAATCCTATGATGTTTTCAAATGCTCATACAAAAAAAGACAGACGGACGGATAAATAAAAGAACAAGGAGAACTCGGAAAAAAAAATAATTTTTTAACTACTATACATGAAGTGGAATAAAGTCACTTATATCTAACATATGGCAACCCTAACCCAAATTTCTTTTTCATCCTCAGATAGGGGCACGATTTGGACAGCAAGAGGAGCCTTTGCCTTATATGGTATCTCAGCCTTTGCCATGGCAGATTCACTCAGTATCACACAGCCGGAGGAGCAGCAAAGCAGAGGAGGTTAGTTGGAAATAGATCTGAACCAAAGTACAGAAGATGTCCGCTCACCGGAAGGCTATTGATTCCTTACAGCCCATATGTCTTCATCTACACATGACTAATCATTGCATATCAACACGTGGTCTGTTCTTTTGGTTTGGTTTTGTGGCTCCGGTATAGTCTTACATCACTTTCTTAGCATCTCCAAAGAGACACTTGTTATGGATGTAGATACTTTAATCCGTTTGGCTCACCTGAGTCACATAAGAATTCATTGTCATAAATTTGCTTTTCTAATCCTTAATTATCTAATCGTGAGACAGACAGTGGAAAGTTCAGCAGTCAATCGTGGCTCAGCATGTGAGCATCTAAGCTGGTCACATGTTTGCTCACAGTCTCTCAGATGGGGACTGCATGTGAAAGCAGAGGAGTCTGATTCCCCACTCAGGGATGACTTTTGGTGCCATGGCAACTACCAAAAAAGCAGATCAAAAATAAAATATTGCGTTATCATCAGAACAGCAACCTCTAAGACCCACAGTTGCAAATTTACACAACAATTCTCAAAAGAAAAGGCCTGCAAATGGGACCTTTTAACTATTTACATAGTTAATGGGTCCTATTGTTGGTCCTCACAATGCTATTTAGAAAAAGTGTTTATAGGTCTGGTCGTCTGACAAACTCGTTCTACCTGCAAACTTTCCATTGCAAATCCTGTTGTAAAATTTCAACTGTCGGCCTTAAGGCCTTTGATGAATCAACCTGAGTAGATAAATATATGCCTGTAAAGACATAAACACTTTCTATGACCGATATTTGCCTGTTCTTCTCTGCATAAGTAATCACATTTCAGTCCACGTAAACACAAACAGAAATGACAAATACCCTTTGTCAGAAGATATGTAATCTTTCTTCTTAGTTTGAGGAGACTTTTTTGAAAATGAACTTATTTTAAAGATAAAGCGAGCAAACAGACAGAAGCATAGAGCAAAGATAACTACACCATCAGTTAACCCAAAGCCCATGACAGAACTCTCAAACAATGAGGTAGTGGGCAATAACATGAACAGAATTAGTATCAGAGACACTCTGTAATGTGGCTAACTTTTGCTACGGCTTAAGTTTATATTATTAACTCTACTAAAAGAGGACTGTATATCTCAGTGTCAAGGTCGTGGAACTCAGTTCACTCAGGCGCGCCGCCAAACTGGCAGGTAAGCACGCTAAGCCTGTCCAGATCTCAGCCAGAGGCACCCCTGTCGCTGCTTTACTTGAGCTGTAATCCCAATCAAGGGGATTTGGGTTTGAGGTCATCATTCCAATCGCAGATATGAAGGGCATGAAGATGGCGCCACACATGTGCTCCTTAAGTGCAACTCATCTTGTACCGCTTGATAAAAAAAAAAAAAGAACAAATCGCTAAATTTTTTGATTATCTGTCTGACTTTATGCATGGTATGGTTTTTAGGTATGTTCGGACAAGTTCCAGATAGACCTGTTATGTTGATCATTCTCGTTCGGGGCTGGTATCTGAGGAATGTGTTGCGTAACTTGAGTGCTTAACCTGAATGTGGCCGGTACTTATGGCTGTCCATTTTATTTGCAGTTTGACGGCCTCAGGAGAAACAGCATGGGCGTGTACAGAAAGAGTGAGTAATTCTGGTGGAAATCTCATTCATATGCTGGCTATTTTTTTCTGCTATGATTTGAGGCACCTAAGAGCTGCCTCAAGTAGATTTTCAATTCAAACTAGAATACAGTTTAAATCAGAAATACAGCCGGCTGAATTGTAAGCTTGAGAGTAAACCCTGCATTTGAACTCAATCATTGCTACAGAATTTGTCTCCATGGCTATTGCCTCTACAACTCTGGCTATCCCCTGTGTCCTGTCGTGCTCAGACTCCAATGCCAGCAATGGGACGTGCACCACACCTGTTGTTCCCCCACTCAGCCCTGTTGAGGCCGAAAAGGCTGCTGCTACAATCCAGTCCCACTTCAGGAAGTTTCAGCAGAAGAAACACAATAACGGCAAGTAGGTTGACAGAAAGGGATGGTGGTGCGGGCACAGTGATGGAGAATACTCCAAAGGCACGATGAACTCAGGGGGGATATTCACAAATGCATTTGGAAGTTCATGTTCAAATGTACATACGTGTAAATACATACATTTAAGAATTCCCAGGATTAGTTACAGTCTCAGAAGTGATGTAACGGCAGTATAGCCTTCATATAAAAAACTGCTTGTAATACATTTTAAAAGTCAATGTGAATAATGTATGTGAATATATTGTAAATCTGAATGTATAATTCTGATGTGAACTAATGAGTGTGCGTGCTTGCAGGTGTGTGTGTTGTTGTAATTTGTTTATGACTTTATATTTTTTCCATATATAAATATGGATTAAAAAAAACAAATGTATTAAAATTTGAAAAAACTAATTGAGCTCTGACTGTTGTTTCATGTTGATACATTGCCCTCTAGTGTTTTAGACAGCAAAATCTGATTTATAACCACAATTCCAATGAAAAGGACGAGTGATTTGCAAATTTAGCAAACCCCTGTTTTTCATTTACAAAAGAAATAAGAATGTATGTAAGTTGTCAAAAGTAAGACATTAAATGAATGCCTTAAAATAATGTTACCTGTTTTGGATTTTATGTTCTAAAAAGCTCATGTGGCATTGTATGTACATATTTTATTGTAATTTCAACAGGTTTGATGAAAACACTGTGATTCCTTCCACAGGACAACATGAGTCTTTCATGAATAATTTGAAGTTTGGTTATAGTAAAACCAGAACTCCTCTTAGAGTTTATCTCAAGCGCCAGATGAAACTGAATAAATAAACCATATCAGAGTTTATAAAAAGATAGCTTTATTGCACAAGGTGTTGAATACTCTTTTTCCTGTTTTTGTTTGTTTTTATAGAAAAGAAAATCTAGAGAGAAACACAAGCAATTGCAAATTGAAGCAACATTTTCCCATAAATGTTTACGGAATTCCCACTACGTTTGAAAAAAACATTTTTCATCAGACCACGTCCCTTTTTATATAGTTCAATTCACATTTCCTTGTTTTCTTTTATAACCAGCAAAATTTTCTTAACATGCAAAGCTGCTGCCCCCTCCCTCAAAAAGTGGAACAAAAGAGGAAATTAAGTACCGTAATAGAAAAAAAAAGTATATGCAACCAAAAGCTCAGTAAAAAAAACTGAATAAAACGATTAACTATGGTCCACTCTGACATGTTTAAACTGGTCCAAAAATCAGCATAAAGTAATTATCGGTATATTTCTATAGTTTTTCATTCCTCATCACATTAATTTAATTCAAAGTTTACATTGTGCCCTGTTTTTTAGTGAAGATGGCGAAAATAGTCATCATTTATACAAAACACCTCCTTATGTACACAAGTCTTCCTTTATAGTGTAGAAATAATAATATAAAGGTGGTCAAAACGGTACAGAGGAGGCTGAGAAGTTACTGATAGGCTGGCAGATGTGACAAAGGATGGGAAAGTGGAATTTGGGAAGTTTGTTTCACACACACAGAAGTCAATTTGAAATTATGTTGTATTTTAAGGAAAAATCCACCCAAAATCTGTTACACAATATGAACAATCACAATATTGGAAAATTGCCAAGTAACATGGGGATAAATAAAAATTCTGCAACCTTTTTTTTTTTAGTCTGACACACTGTGTTACTCAACAGATTTACTGCAGAGATTTGAAGAACAAAAGTTGATATAGCTATGAAAGATTAGTGAACAGCTGCAAAATCCTTTTGAGTTTATGTAGCTGAGAGCTGGTGTATTGTGGTAATTTAACTTAAAAGAAATCTGCTATTTCACTCACCAAAGTACTTTAGCAGTGCTATGCATGTTGTAGACGTACAAATTGAGAACAAATGCATTTACAAAATTAATCTCATCTTTTTAATCCAGAAGTATTCCTCAGAGCTCATAAACAGGATGGAGTTTTCTTTAAAGACAAACATTGCATTTACTTTGATCAACTTCACTGTACAACGGGGGAAGGCAGGTTGGTTAGAAGTTTATTTCATCACTCCAGCCAAGTATCCATACACGAGGAATAAGGCAGATCCTGTTTGTGGATGTCAAAAACAGGCTTAACCTTTTCCCAAGCTCTGAGAACAAGTATTTGCATAACTTGAAACATAAAGGTCAAAATGAAAGGCATCGCAACCATGATTAATGGGAAGCAAATCACACGTCTCACTTGTTGAGTTTTAAAAGAAAAATTAAGCATGAATACAGTTTTCTGCACTTTTCAGTGTGGAGTCGGTTCATCGGCCTGCAGTCCCGGAGTTTGGAGAGGACTTGAAATGACACAGATAAGGAATAGAAATACTTTTTTTTTTTCCTGTTCATTGATCTTGCAATGGCACTGAGTTTGTGAACAAACCTTTAGAAGGGAACAAAACAACATAACACAAGAGGCTCAATTACTGTATAGGCTGTCCTTCTTTTACTGTTTTCTTTTTCAATGCCACACGTTCTGCCACAGACCACAGTTCATCAGCGACACAATCTCACACTGTAATTTCACTTTACTGTGCTTTTCCTTTACAAAATCACAAGGGTATAGATGTATTATTCACTAAAACCTCAGTTCCCTCATTAACAGCAACTTTCACACTACTTTCCGTCTCTCAAAGAACTTCTGTTTGTTTGTGCTACCCGTTTATTATTCACTCTTCACTTTTTGCTTTCTCCCTTGTGATTCGTCACTAAGCGATTGTCTTGTGATCTTTTTTTCATATATATTTTAGAACGGCTTTTATATTTCTCTGCATTTTTCAATATTCATATATTTGCTATATATTTGAATAGAAATATATATGTACATACTTTTGAAAACAAACATATATGATATCTTTTTTCTTAGTTCTATTGCAAGAGCCCTGATGTTACGTTTTACCGTTGCAAAACTTTTGGAGTGACTCTTTTTTGGAAAGATCTTTGTCATGGGATTAAGCTTTGGGTGAAGAAATGAAAAACAAAAGCAAACAAAAGAAAGATAATACATACAGTACCATGTATAAAGCTAAAATGAATACAGAACGGTAGAGGGACAAAAGTTCTTTTAGGTTTATTGACCACTCTTCTCTCTGCTGTTGCCTTCAAGTCCTACCAGCAATTGAGCACTATAACTATAATCTCAGCATCTGCTCATGAACTCCAGATCATACAAATATTTTCCTTGTTTACTTCTAAGTGTGTTGAGTGGTTGCAACTCGTTGCTCCATTCAAGTTGTCACTAACAGTAAAAAAGCAAGTCTGTCTTTCTGTGCATATTAGACCTCTTCTCTCAGTCTGTGTGTCTGTCTTTGACAAGCCCACATGCTAGCAATAGATCACAGTGACACTGTATGGATATGAAGAGGGGCTGGATGACTGGGAAGGTGGGAAAGGATGGAAAGTGAGTATGGACAAAGTTAAGTGGATAAGTGGTATTTTTGCGCAATGATGAACCATAAAAGGGTCTCTTCCTTCTTTGCTCTGTCGAAATTAAAGAGGCCAAAAGGGGAACTTATGTCTTCTTGAACTCTAACGAGCGGTCTTTTTTCATCAGTACTTTTGCATTTAGTCTGTTGTGTTGTCAGGCACAGTAAACGAATCAAAATGTTGGACCAAATTAGGATCAGAGTGTTAGATCTGCAGAACCAATATCATCATAATCACTTTTGTTCCCCTCTTAGTGGTACAAAACAAAGAATCGGCATCGGGTTTCCGTTCTGCCCGCGTTGTCAAAGGTCCATTGAAGGTGTGTGCCTGCCACATGTATACATTTATATTTACACATATACACTCGCGCGCACACACACAAACACACGCACGCAGGCTTGTGTAGGTTTCTGTTACTCGGATCCATTCTAACGTTTTCTTAGTGCACATGAGATTTCATTTTATGAAAATAAAGTTAAAAACGATGGTATAATTCTGGATTCATGTTTCACTCGATGATGCTTGAATTTTCTATCTGCTCTGCTTTGAGTCAGTTCATGAAAGGCCCACAACGCTCTCTCATCAATGGCGTGTTTCAGATTGACCTCAGAGCTTGTATTGAGACAACAGTCCTACCTCCAAAGTATGAAGCCGTGATGGAGTTACCACGCACAGCCTGTTATGCCAAAGCTGGTGGTTTATGCATACGGAAAAAAGCATCCTGCCATTGCACAATGCTGTAACATGAGCTCATTTTTCATCAGACTGGAAAATTAATAGCTTTAAAATCTAAAAACCTGAACACCCCATCTTGAACGACCTGGTTCATTTTTACGGCTGTCGTGGCTCATAAAACAAAGATGGTGCACATGGAAAGCGTTTTGTGCATCAGTACTGTGTGTCCTTTCCAGAAATTGAACAACGCTAAGTAGACAGAGAAATTATTTATGTGTTGGCAGGTGATTTCCAGGGTGATGAAATAAGAGAATGTAATGACACAATAAAACCAGAAAGCAATCAGGCAGAAAGAAAGGCAAACCCCTGTGCTGAGGGAGGCCAAACTCTGGCCTCCACCAAAAAAAATAGTGTCAGTGGGAACCCAACAAGCCCCTGCAGCCTGGCACAGCACAGGCACTGATGGGTGAGCTGTGCAAGTGTTTGTTTCTCACCCCAATTTACGATCGAGGCTCCAGGCAAGCGCTGGCTCGACCAGCATTTAATTAAGAGTTACAGTGACAGGCCCCGGTGATGGCAGGCTACACCAGTGTGTAGGACTTGGAGTAGGCCCCTGAACCTCCATCTCTCTGCTTCTGCAGTCTGCCCAAGCCCGAGGAGCTGCTCTCCAGCAGAGAGTCCCTGGATCCGCCCATCTTGGAGGAGGAAGACGAGGCACCGCCCGGGGTCCCTCCTGTGGCCCCCACTGCCCCTCCGCCACCGGAGGAGGACGATGACCCTGAAGCTCCAGCGGTAGCGGCTGCGGCGGCAGCGGCGCTCTGAGCCACAGAGGCAGAGGAGCCAGGCATGGTGAGAGTCCTCTGTGGAAGGGTGGAACTGCTGGAGCTGGCAGACAAGCCTCCACTTCCCCCACTACCTCCACCACCGCCCCCCGTCGCTCCTCCAGAGGAAGCCCCCGAGGACGTGAGGTTGGACAGACCAGAGTGGCCCATCGTCAGCGCCTGCTGTTTCGCAGAGTCCATAGTCACGTGGCGGCCCTGGGTGTGGTAAGCCCGTTGGGCCAGGCCACGGATAGAGGCTTCACGAGGTGGAACCACTGGACATGGGTCATGATGTTCTGACCGCTTCCGGAAAAAGGGATCTGACTTCATGTATAGGGGTAGGTTGCAGTAGTCACCTAGAAGAAGAGAAGAAGAGAAGAGATCCTTTAAAGTCAAAGCTATAAAGGATACTTATTTGTACTTTTTTAAAAGTAAAATTCCCTATTGTATTAAAACGTAACATGATTCTCATACAAAACCAACTTACAATATTTCTAGAAAAGTTCAAGTAGATTTAAAAAAATAAATGACCATAAGAAAATGAAAGAAAGAAGAAGTACTCACTCTTGGCGCGGTGTGGAATGGGCACGGCTACATTCTTGCCACGGTCATAATCTTGGGGCTTGGGTGGTGAGGCAGTGAAACGGCAGATACCAGGCTCTGATGGTGTGCTCATTGATGTCATGCTGTCAGCATTGTCATTGGTACCTGTGGTCATTTGATCGGATGAGCTGTCGGAGATGAAACACTCTGTAATCTCAAACTTGGCGTGTTGCAAGTGCTCCTCCAGCTTGGCATGCTCATAGGCTCTCGCTAACTCCTCATAGGTAGAGGAGGCACTCTCCGTCGACACCATGCTGTTCCGCCCCTTGTCTTTGGGAGGAAAAAAAACGCACACACACACACACGATGTCAGAAAATGGTGGCAAGAACTTTTCGCCAGGGTTTAGAAACTCTCTTTAGACATGAATACAATAAACAGATTTGGTGTTAGATGTTAAAGGCTGAAAGTGCAATTTCAACCTTGTACCAACCTGTGTCCTGTGAGAGGCTGGCACTATAGCTGTCACTCTCTGTGACCGTGATGCCATGCTGGGAGCCAACTGTGCGCCAGTCTGACGTGAGAGTGCGGGCTGGCGTGGAAGCTTGACACTTGGTAAGTGTCCACTGACTGGAATAACGGTTCCTGATACTATGAGCTGACTTGACACTCTTTCTCGACACCGGGTCTGGTGGCAGAATAGACAAGGAAAATTAGAGAGATCTATATATACACAGATGCTCTTGACAGTTTGGGAAAATGAGCAAGTGTTCAAAAAAACAAATTTCTTCTCACTTTTCTGCTAATCTGTTAACCATCTAGCGTCAAACTGAAATCAGAGCTTACCAGTTCGAAGAAACCTTACACAGATAACTCACATAAAGCTAATATTGCCTATTGTAAATAAGGCATTGCGCAATAACTTATTTTACTGCTTCAGGGTAAATGGACAGTGATGGAAGAGGACACATACTAGTTCCTGGTCGAATGTCAGACATGTCTATTAACGGACCGGTGTTCTGGATGAGGGCAGGGTGATGAACAGACACACCAGTGCAGAAGCTTTGAGGATTCCCAGTTTGGTTGAACTCTGTGTCTGTCACAGGGATAGTAGCTTTGTCATCACCTACAGAGAAAATGTTTTGCGATTGTTAAACCGACATCTGTATAATTTTTCTAGTGTGCATTTGTCATTTGCTGTCGACGACCAAATCCAGAAAAAACATGCATATCTGTGAACACATACAACTCTCTCTATCTTCCTCTCACCAATTTGCTTGATGCCTTCTTTATCCTCAATTAGCAACTGCACTCTGGGGATGTCGATGTGTAACCGTGGTCCCTGAGGAGGTCCTTTAACTGGTGTGTCAAAGCTGCGGTTGTTTTTACTAATCCAGAGATTCAAGAGTAGCATACACAAAATTAATGTTTTTATAAAATACAAAAAGCTGATTTATAAAGACCATTTAAATCAATACCAAATGTTGTGTGATGATCAAAAATGAGACATTGTTTTACCTGATAAGCATCTCTGCAAGGCTTTTAGCATCTAAAAAATAAGAAAAGCATAATTCATTATTACACATCGGTCTTTTAAAACTGTACCATCATTTCATTCAAGACAAATCTGCTCCTGCTTTAGAAAGTTCTCTGAAGGCTACTTTCTTCTTTACAAGTTAGCGCACCTCTTAGTCGTTTCAGCCTCTTTTCTTTGCGTTTCCTGCGAATGATGAAGAGGAGTGCAACTCCCAGAGTGACCAGAATCACAGGACAACCAATAGAGAACAGCTTCTTGACGTCGTCATTCTTTTCAAGAGGGGATTTAATGGGGGGAATGGTACCTGTACACACCAAAAAAGAGGAAAAATGAGTACCAACACCCTCATGATGACATTCTTAGAAAATAATTCAGCAGAGAGTATCATTTACACAGTTGAAAAGCTAAACAAAGACAATCTTTTACTCACTGCCATCGTAGTCCAGTGTTGCAAACTGGGAGCTCTGGTTGCCACAGCCAGCACTGTTACATGCTTTCATCTTCAGTTCATACCAAGTGGCCTCACGGAGTTCAGCGAGAAACACGTCGTTGGTAGCATTGGTGCGCACAGTCTGCCAGGCCCACGTTCCTGCAAATATATCCACAAAAAAAAAAGAAAACTTTTAGATAATTTCCTATTATCATTCTTATTTCTTTATTTGGGTGATGCTTTTCCCTTTACTTTGAATGTATCTGGTTAAAGTAGCTTACCAAGTGACATAAATGGAGAAAAAAAAGAGCAACCCACCTTTTGGTCTGAACTCCAGTGTGACGGCAGTGATTGGACAGCCTCCACTGGCCCATCCCTGGAGATTGAGGCGGGCGTGGCTGGAGTTGATGTGGGTGAAGACAGGCTGATCTTTGTTAAACTGAGGTTCTGAGAAAACAACACCACACATGCATTAGTTTGAATCTTTAGATTTAATATTCAAAGTCAAATCTATTAAATTGTATAGATCAATAGAAACATAAGCTGGCATCCATGATGACAACCATGTTAACTCTGACAAAGAAATATGAGTAAAGAATATCATCCCACTAACTTATTGTTACTGATTATGGCATTGATTGCTCATTATTATCCAAGCACATTACTAGTGAAGCCAGTTTGAACTTCTTCTTAAACAAATTTGTCCATGTATCACTTAAATCTCAAATGTTATAATAATACTGCACTTATGCGAAAGTAACTGATGAAGTGTTTTGCTCATTCTAATATTTTCTGTAGTATATTTCGTCAGTATTGAATTAAAGTCATTCTCTGATGAAGGAAATCTGAGCAGGGCAGTCATTGGTCTACTTTCATCAAGATTTGATGACATCAGAAACTCTTTTGTGAAAATGAGCGATGTTGCTGTTTTGGCAAACCTCCTTTCTGCCTCCTCACCTCGGCCGTGAGTCTTTGCTTCAATGATCTCGCTGATGCGTCCGGCACCAACGCTGTTCTTGGCAGCCAATTTGACTTTATACCAGGTCCCACAACGGAGATTGTCTAGTTTGAAGGAGCGCTCAGTAGAACTGATGAAAACATCTTTCCATTCCTCTGTATTGTCAACAGAGTACTGCAGCACAAAACCTGCATTCAAAAAATGTATGACATTTACCGATGAGAATGTTTCACTCTGTTTATTACACGACCATTTAAATATTTGAGTTCCCTCACAACATTATGGTGGCTGTGTCTGCAATGTCCACTAGATGGCAGTGAAATACAGTGGTTCTCTTACTCGGTAAAGGCTCCGTTGTTGGAAGGTCTATTTTCTCTCTATCTATGCCGCCATTAGTTACCTACAAACCCTAAGCCTGGGATGGTGCTGACAGAGCATCTATGCAAATGAGGGTTTGCAATATGGTGACTGTTTTTATAATCAGCTGCCTATGTGAGCGAACTCCCTTTTTATCTAATCATCTGGATGTATTTCCTTCTGTGTGTACGAAACTATGCATGTTCAAATGTCATTTTCTGTGTCTTTATACAATTCTTTTTCTCCTCGTTCTTTCTCAAACAGATGGTTTAAAACTTCAGAAGGGTTAACATGTGCAGACTGAGCAGTGTCTGCTGTAAGTTTTACAGTCACCCTCTGTTTCTCACAGAACGCAGGAGGACATATCAGAACATAGCAGATCGCAGAACAAACAGTACAGTTACAGACCACAGCAAAACAACAGCCGGCTATTATAGGGCATAAGAATATTATACCATTAGATCTAAACATAACATTTTTCCAGTGTCTAAAATTGTGAATTTGTGAATCAGTATGTTTTCATATTATTGCTGAAAGGTTAAAAGTCTGTAAAAGATACCAGTAATTATGAAATAGAGCAACCTTAGGTACGGTAACTTTAACACTGCCTTCTGCAGACAAGGCACAGATGGGCTCACAGATAGACGCTCAAACTGATATACATACAAGATGCACAGATAGGGTCCATGCTTACATGAAAAACAGGATGATGTATGCAAAAACATGCTGGTAGAGAACATTATTTGAATACTGAAGTTTCACATTCAGCACAAGATTTGCTTCAAAGATTTTATTGCTCCCTTTCTGCTTGTGCATCAATAATGCACTAAACTTTTTCAGGACATTTTTGGCAGTTTGGTTACAGGAGTAGAAGGATATAGAGATATATTTAATCAGCTTTGGGGCCCTTAAAATATACTTCAAAAGACAATAAAAAAGAAAAAGACAAAATTAACAATTGTTTCATTTGTCATGCAAAGATGTAAAAAGTTTCCTCTCCTGCAATTGTGTCTTGAAGACCACTTTAAAGTAAACATGTATTGAATGTTTGATTGTCTAATATAAAAAGAAAGATTAAGTAAAAATAATGAGCCTATAACACCCTTTAGTGACAAATAGGACAGAAAAGAGAGCCACTGAATTCAAATTTGCATTCATGCTCATTCAGGCACACACAGATCACCAATAATCAGATAATCAGACAGACACACAGTCAACAGGAAAATGTGAAACCGGGACACCATTCAATAAACTAATAGATTAGAATGAACACCAACAATGTGCCAGGTAAAAGACACATCAGAGACAGACAGGGGTACACAGACACATGACAGGCGTGCGTGTCAGCTGCAGATAAGAAAGAAAGTGATGAGAGTATGTGGGGCGAGGCACTAAACATTTCTTTTTCTTACCTCTGATGGAGCTTCCTCCATTATCACCCGGAATCCACGCAAGAGTAATGGAGGAGGTCGAGGTGGTGGAGACGGTTAGACGAGGTTGGTCTGGAGGGACTGAGGTAGACACACAAAGAGTTGACTATTTAACAAAATCTGTATCTGACAAGGACAAAAATTCTACATTGGAAATAAAACCAATCACCAATAGCCCTTTCTTACCTTGGACCAAAAGGTTGACTATAATGGTATCAAAGCCCAGAGTGTTGGTGGCTGTGCAAGTGTAATAACCCGAGTCCTCAGCTTTGACAGAGCGCAGCACTAATGTCCCATTGGCCATAATGAGGCGCTGTCCATCGAGAGACACTGGGATAGCTGTGTCCTCACTAATAAAAATCAAGAAGAGAAAATCAACAAACATGAGAGTTAATAACAAATAATTTCATAGCAAATCATGTTAAGATGTTCAGATGATGCCAGAGGGCTACATTTTCAGGCAGAACCCTTGCTGACCCAGAATCATTGTTTCTGAGCTGTTTGTGCACTGTCCATTCTTGAATTGATTATGTATATGTTTATGTTTATGCATTTAGCCGTCGCTTTTATTCAAAGCGATTACAAAGTAGACAGAATGTTACAGTTATCATCAGTCTGACAATAAGCTCTCTTGAGGGAAATCCCTAGTCACAGTCAGTAGGGACTGCAAAGAGATAGAGGGAAGTACAGAAAGAGTAGTACAGGGGGTATGGATGTATGTGTAAGAGCTAGGATAGAAATGATTAAAGGACAGAATCATTAAAAGAGCAAATTAATTTAAAATCCAGCAAATATACCTGGATTGCGTGTGGAAATGTCAGAGCTCATATTTACTATAACAAAAAACTAAATAAATACATTGCTATGTGCGATGATGTTGTTAAGAAATGTTTATATCAATGGGAAAACAGCCGAAAAAAAATAAAAATAATTGATAAACAGAAAATGTCCGACAAAGAGAAGGATTTGTCTTTTAATCCATATAAAAAATATCAACTTTAATTGAAATTATAACACCGAAAAAAAAAAAACATGAACTAGCATAATAAACTATTTTAAGAAATATGATTTTCACTTTTCATTCTTTTGTAGAATATTGTGTTATCTTATCTTATTGTCACTTAGAGAAATGCATGTTCTGTTGGAGGCACATGTAATCGACTCACCAGAACAGATTCTTACCTGTCTTTGGTCCATTTTATGGTGGGGGTGGGTTCACCTACTGAGCTACAGGGGAGGCGCACCTCTTTCATCCAAGGCGTAGTCACCGTACCCCCAAATGACAGGATTTTAGCTGGCGCTGTTGAAAAATGAGGAGAGCAATGCTCAATGTTGTATAGTTGAAACCTCATAAAAAACAAAGAAAGACAGTCTCAATTTGCAATGCAGGCTCCTGACTGATAAGCCCTAATCGGGTAATTTGATCATGTTTGATTTTAGAGCCCAATGAAGAATCAAAATTAATAATAATAATAATAAAAAAGTAATAGATATGTAAACACTGATTTGTATCTTACTCTTTTCAATAAGAATAATGATAAATTAAAACATTGTATTTTCTGTGGTTAATAAGAAAATAAATCTGAGTTAAATACGGTAGCATTCAGGGAAATACAGACAAAGAGGTATAAAGTGCAGGGAAAGGGATAAGATAAAATCACATGAACAAAATCTCCATTCACTGAGTCACAGGATGCTCATCTCTTCTCTCCCTCTACCACCCACTCTGTCATTCTTGCTCACACTTGGTGTCTTAATGCTACTACTCTAGTGCACTTATGTTAAGGTTGAATGGAGTATTGAGTTGGCAAACCTGGAGGATAATGCCTTTTACAGCTGCTGATCATAGGAGCAACACACCTATACCATCACACTGACAATCCATTGAACTCAGAAGTCAAAGGAATGAACTAATACATAAAAGATAACATGGTGAAGAGACATCATCTCCTTCTGACTCTTTTATTCTGACTTTTGAATAACTTCCAATTGATTTACTGTAACTGCTATCTTAATTTTCCTAAACACCCTACTGGCCCATTGTGTTGCTTTTGACTTATTTCTACTCTTGTGCCATTTTTCTCTCATCTGTTTTCTTTCCTATTATTATTTCCCTGACTGGAGGGATTTTTTCTGGTGAACTCTGAATTCAAGAAATCAATAGCACACTTGTGTAAAGTCTAAACAGACAGGAACAGTCTCAGAGGGAAATTCTGGGAACACAAAAAGAGACCGGTAAAGTTTATAGAGCTAAAGGGAAAGGGAGAGGTAGATCAAGGATGCAAAGTAAAATATTCTTTAGAAAGGATTTTTCTAAATTCATGACAGAGTCAGAAAGAGTTTTGAAGAACAACAGTAATCAACTCTAAGTGTCAGACAACTCCTAAGAGAGGGAAACAAAGCAAACAAAGCAAAGCCTAAAATGAATTTCTTACTTATTTCTTACTTATTGACTATGTATAAAATAGAGAACTGAATTATCTAAGTTTTTTTGTCTTTGGTAAAGATGCAACACATGTCAAATAGAAACATTCTCACCATTTATGGCAAAGGTACAGCCTCAAATACACATACATTTGCTTTCATAGTAAAGAAGCCAAAAGTACTCTGTCAAAAGCCTGGAAAAACTACAATAAATTGCAAAAATAAATGTGTGGACTGTGGTATCGTAACAACTAAAGGCATCTCAGACACTTACAGATTAGGGAGAGCTACAGTACTACTTTTGCTCAAGTAAGCATCTCATAGTTTTACCTAAAGCGTTGGTGTGGCATATGTGTTTCAACAGAGTGGAAAATAGAACATTTTGTACTGGTGTTGATGTTGTCTTTGCTGGTATTATGATATTTTTGGGGGAACAAATATTCTTATGTTCCCACAAAGTTATGTTATGAAGGAGAAGTCACATTGTTCTCTGTTTTGAGTGAAATAAAAAAATATTGAATAAAAGACGTCTATGCTGCTGCAGATACAAAAGGGAGATTTTCTGCAGTGTCCTCTGTCACAAAGTCGGTGTCCTGGTAATTAATTTTGAAGGTAAATTCTGTTTTCCTCTTTTTTGTTTGTCTGCTTTATACGCGATATAGCTATTTTCTGCTTTGTGGAATAAACTAAAGAGGAATTCAATCGATGTTTAGTCATTTATTGATTCTGGTTTGAAATGTGGTCATGTTGGGGTCATTTCTATTATTATTAAGGTGAACTCACCCTTGGCAGCTGGCTCCACAGTGACTTTGTCGCTGAAGTTACCGCGGCCTGCAGTGGTAACAGCAGCTGCCCAGATCAAGTACTGCTGCCGGTGGTTGAGGTGGGTAATTCGGTAAAATAGTAGCTCTGGATTGGCTTCGTATTCACTTGGCAACTGGTAAAAACAATGAAAAGAGGGTGTTATAATGGAAAGACAAATCTGATATTGAGGATAAACAACCAGGAAATCAGCAGAACCTATGAGAAATTAATTCAGTACTTAAAAAAATGCATATTATGCATAATTAAATGCATATGAAAATTCTAATTTTAGTGTTTTCTGTTTTAACGTGAAAAGAACGTATATACTTTCTCGATAAAAACATGATGTCACTTTTGTAAATAGGCAGATACAGTTTGAAAGACTGAGTGAACATCATGCTAATGTAAACTTAACCCTTCATCTTTTTGCAAAAGCAGAACTGAAAACATGGAGAGAGATGGTAGGTAGGGGGTTTGGGACATATTATTCTAAATTATTAAGACGCAAAACTGTTTGGACATATGATGCTGGAGGCAGAGAGAGGCGGGTGCTGCTGGGGAAAATTAAGGTGAGGGGGCTGGACTGGGGGAAGTACGGTCCAATCCCTTTCCTCCTATCCTCTCCTCAGGGAGAGCAAACAGAGATATGAGATAGGAAGACAACAGGGAACAGACAAATGAGTCATTCGGAGATATCATGAACAGTCATATCAGCAGAAGAGATCAGCTATGGAGGAGAGTCACATAAACAGGCATAGAAAGGGAATTGGTCACACACAGCCAAGCACATGCATGAATATACAGAGACACACACACGGAGTGGCAAACATGACCTGGAGGTGGATGTGTAATTGCAGTGTGTTTAACCCGGCCATGTGTCTGCTGTCTAGAGATGTAGGCATCACTGTCCCCTTGACAACTATGTAAACACACAGAACTGTTCTATTTTACTTTATGTCAACTAGCAACCAATTATATCTGTATTTTCTCGACTCCTGTACAACCCCTTCTCAGGTATCCCAACATTCAGAGACACATAGCATACACATGCAGAGCCACACACTTCTGTGCATTCATCCTAAGCAGCTCAGTCTGTTGAAAATCACAATTATGAAAAGAGTCAGAAAAAGATACACAACCGAAATGTGTTTGGGAGCAAGATGGGATCACCTCTCATTCACCGCCCACCGTGTAAATCACTTTTTTACTACAGCCCATCGCTTTGGCTCTGACTTACAATTCTGACTGACAAGAAGTTGTGATATAAATGTCAAATGGGCTGACGAGTCGGTAGATGTGCCAGACCAGTAAAACCTGCAAAGACACTTCAGTAATGCTAAGCTGGGTTCCTGTCAATTTATTCTAGGCAAATAGATTCAAGTGTACATGTTGTCTTTCACATTTATGAGCAGGTCATGATGGAGGAATGCACGTCTTGTTATCATTCAATTCCATTTTTCTTACCCACTGCACCAACCTCCCCCTCGCTGTTAATTCATCTCTTCATTTCTCCCTCTCACTTTTCCGTATCTATCCCTATCTCCCCCCCTCTCCCTACTATTTTTCATGATCTTGGCTTTTTCCCACCTGGATATTACGTAAACTTTGAAGCTTACTTTCACACATTTGTCTCTAATGTACACTCTTTACTGACAGCACAGCTATAGATTGAGGGATGGATAGATGGATAGAAGGATGGATGTGCTGTATGGGTGGGTACGTGCTGGGAAAAAAGGAGTGACAGAGTGTGTGTTGCTGTAACGGATATTAAAATATTCCTCCAGCGTTGAGATAGCGGTGATCCGGGGAACGATAGAGCGAGATAATGAAAAGAGGAACAAAAGTACTCCCCGCGCGGTGTGTCTGACCCCCCCATCCCTGTTCCTCCTTCCCTCTCTCCAGTTGCACTCATTTACATAGTAATCATCCAGAACTCTGCAGGGGGCTTCACAGAGAGAAAAGGGGACTGAAAGAAAGATGGATGGAGAGATATGTAGAACGAAAGAGGGATTTGTGAATGAAAGAGACTAAGGAGAGGACACGTATATTTCTTGAAAGGTATATTTATCAGGCGTATCTGTGTGTGTGTGTGTGTGTGTGTGTGTGTGTGTGTGAAGTGTGTTTTTTGTTGTTTGTACGCAAGCAGGATATGTCCCCCGCTTGTGAATTCACACAACCATAAATACATAGTTACAAAGTGGATAAGGATGTGCAAAAAAATCTATCTAGGCGTGTGTGTGTGCGCGTCTGAGTGTGCTTTTGCTCTCAGCTTGTTTCTACCCTGTTGATGAACAGATGAGGTTGTCCTGGCAACGTGATGAGACGCAGATATGTAAATGAGGCTGGAGGGTGAGTTTGCACGCACACACTGCAGTATGAGGAGAGCTCATTTTACACACATCTTGCTGAGACTGCAGCACTCATCCACACACACACGCGCACACACACACACACGCACGCACACACATACACGCACACAGAAGAAGATAAAAACCCTATATGCAAGGCAGGACCTAATGAATCTAAATTACATGTTGATAAGATATATTATGTATGGTTGAATCTGTTTCATGTGTTAAAAAAGAAAAAAGATAAATGTCCTCCCGTCGCTCCTCCATGTTTGGGGTTGGTCTTCCTATGTCTTCTTATCTTTCATTCATTAGTCTAACGGAAACTCTACGCATCCCTCTCGTCACTCACCGGTTGGCCTGAGCCAGGGCTGGAGCAATAGATGGTGTACTTGCGGATGATTCCATTTGGCTTGTGAGGAGGTAACCACGACACTACGACACTGCTGGCGGAGGAGGGCACAGCTTTTATGCCAGCTGGGGGTCCAGGGTCTGAATCACAAAAGGGAGAAAGGAGCAAAATGGAGGGCAGATTAAAATGTTGCTGGTTATATTAAACTGAATTTACAGTGGATAGTTGAAATTACAGTTTTCTCGACATTATTTCACAATAAACTATTCATTATGTTATTTTACCAATATCTTCTTTGTCTGCAGATTTTTGGATTGTTATAATAATAGTGTTTTCCTTCGTGTGTCAAAATTTTCCCTGATCAAAAAACCTATATGAAAAAAGTCAAATAATGAAAAAAAATATATTCATAAAAAACTTTACGTTTTTTAGATGTATTGTGATATAAATAAAACATAAATGAATTCAAACATCTGCCAATTCAAAGGGATCACATGTCATGGTCCTCTGTGTGTACTGGCCCTTAGATAAAACTACAAATAACAGTGAAAAACGGATGGATCTGTTTATAGATCACACCGTTTAATGTCAAAAGTGTTTGCACGTCTAAGAGACAGAGGCATAAAATGACAGGCTGAAAAGTGGCTGCTTGCAAAATTCCTCTCTCTTTTCCGTGTGCTGTAGACAGAAGTGAGGGCAAAGGGAAGGGTTAGACCAAGAGAGACAGATAACATTTGTGAAGAGCTTGCCCCTGGACACAGTGTCAACCTGCATCAGTGAAGTAAAAGACACACACAGTTTGTTTCCTCTAACATACCACACTCACTGGCATTTATATATATATATATATATATATATATATATATGCATACACACAACCAAGAGAAAAAAAAACTAAGTAGATACAGACTTGAAGAGCACAGAGGCCAGTTCATAAAGTAGAGATATTGCAAGGCAAAGAGAATAAAGGCCTTTTCTATGATGACACTTCTAAGAATCTCTGCACCCCCTCTCTACAGCGCTCCTTCATTTTCTCCATCTCTAGACGCCTGCCTCCTCCTCTCACTCGCCCCAGGGAGGGAGAGGAGAGGCGGATACGGATGTAATCCACAACTCGCCAATGTAAGCACAAAATTAATTCTCTTTAAGCCACAAAGAATTAATCCCTCTCTTTGTGCTGGTTAGTGTAGAAGACCTGCGCGCAAACAATAACGTATGTACACGTACACGTATTTGTACATGCACACTAGCACAAAGACAGGTCCACATGCAAGACACACTTAACCCCAAAGACATACACACTTCCACATATTCACACACATAGACTGACACCCTTAGGGTTCTTAACCACACACACTTTTTGGCTTCTTAATTCTCATTAGCACTGGTAATGGCACATCAGAGCATAAAGAGGTTGTTAATCAGCAACCTCAGCCTTACAAAGACCCCCTCTACACCGCTGGCTCTTTGCCTCCCACATTGCTCCCTAAAAGAAGAGTAAAAACCCTTCAGGCTGCTCCAGAGAGTTGTCAAGACAAATAAATCATTATTGCCATTGCTTGTCATTCTATTACTTTGTTTATCTGTTAATAAAAATCAACTACATGGTTTTATGAGCCTGACTGTGGGCAACAGGGCTTCGTTTCAGATCTTGAAGACATTTCACAATTCATCTCTGATTGCCATGATCTGGACCACTGAAAAGATGTGGACTCACAGTCTTCACGAGTCTGGATGTATAAAACATTGCTCCGGACGCCGTCCCCTGCCTGTGTGAAGGCCAGGACCTGGATGCTGTAGTTGGTGAATTTCTCTAGGCCTCTGAGCTCCACCTGCTCCTTGATGGTCGTGATATTTTGCATTTCACCCCACTCTGAAAAATAGAGGGGGAAAAAAAGAGTCAAAGGTAGGACTGAGCCATTTCTTTTCATCCCATGATTTAATATGCTTAAACTCACCTCCATCTGGAAAGACAGCCCAAAACACGACACGATATCCCTTCAGAACCCCATGCAGAGTCATTCTTGGAGGCTCTGCCCATGTGATCACTGCCTCATCAGATGTAACAGAGATAGCTCGCACATTCTGAGGAGGCTGACTGGGAACTGGCAACAAAGACATTGTAAAGAGAAAGGTCAAATAAGTTATCTTAACCATGTATCATCCATTTTCCAACCATCCGTGTTTCATAATTTTCATAAAATAAAAAAAAGGTCTGGTCTGTCTGAGCAACACGTACAAAATCAAAACAACCGAACACTTGTATTAAATTTTTATAGTGGAGCACTATATGTGGATAACAGACAGGGTGAAATTAGGCAGATATATGACTGCCCATTGGATACAGATTGCTGCAGTTAATTTTCTGGTGCAGTGGTTTTGCCCATACGGATGTGATGCAGGATTTCACGACATGATAGGTAGACCGAACATTCACGTGTTGCCCATTTTGAGCTATTGCATCCTTTATCATTAAGGATCTATGACAGAACCATCATTAAACTCTGGGGCTGATGGGTCTGTGCCATGAGACAGACCTTACTTTTCTCACATTGTCCTAACATCCGGCAATATATTCCATTATCACTGTGTAGTGTATGAAACTGTACATTTCTGCAAACTTGAGCAATTCCTCAGTGTGTAGCTTAATTTAATACATCCAAGAGTAATACCTGAGTAGATTAAAAATTCTGTACCTTTAAAACAACTATTGCTCATTAAAAAATGAAAAAATATAAGTTGATAACCTTCTCTGAAAAGGCATTTCCATATCAAAACTGAAACGAAAAGCAAGGCCAGCAGTAGATGAAAAGCTCATGAAATGTGTCCAGTTGATATATAGGACCATCTCTCTTTCTTCATACAAGCATCTCTCTGTCCCTACCAAACCAGGTGTCTTTGCTATTGGCTGCCGCTGACCACTAGTCATTCAAGCTTTGAATAACATCCAGTGTTAAAGATGAACAGAAGTCAACTTGTGAGAAAAGTAAGGGCAGGAAGAGAGGAAGAGAGCTGCTTGAAAGACATTGTGCAATGAAAGCAAGAGACTGGACGGAGTCCACCAAGGAATTTCTCTGCAGCTGGTGAGAGAAGGAAGAAAGGGGGAGAAGGAGTGAGGAAGATGAGGGAAATAGAAAGGAGGATTAAAAAACTCAATTTGAATTTTGTATCAGCAGATCTACCGATAAAAAAATAGAATAAAATAATGCTATATTTTTAAAAACAGTCTCAGAAAGTCTTTTTTTGGGAGGATGAGAATTGGATGTTGGGATAAAGTAAAAGGGGAGGAATCAAGAAGTAAAAGCCAGGAAAGCAAGGGAAAGGCACAAAAAGATTAAAAGAGGGAGCAGAGAGACAATGCCTTCAGCTGTGGATAATTACAGCAGGAAGCTAGAAGGAAAGAGAGAAAGACAGAGACAAGCTAATTATAATTATTTTTAGTATGCTTGTTGTTATCACTATTATCATAATGGCCATCAATATCACTGTCGCCACGGTGACAGCCACAGGAAAGAGCTGGAGGGCTCTGTCTCCTCTGGACCAATGGGGCTCAGCCAACCGTCTATTGGGTGGATGAGTATTTATGTGACGCGTGTGTTTATATGTGTGTTCATATTTATTTATTTTTTAGTTACAAAATGAAATGGTTCATTTGCATTGCTTAATATCAAATGGAAGTTTTGAAAGAGAAAAAAAATGTAATTTATTCATATATTTCATGTCTCTACTTGACCATAGACAAAAGTAGATCAATGCAAACTAAGATATGTCTGCAGAATATAAACCAAAAACTGCATGGGCTATATGTCAAGACTAACAATTTAGACAAAATCCAGTTGTCAGTTTTTCTTGTATTTTAATTGTTTTTCTTCCCACTTTTCCATCTCTCCTTTCCATCCCTTCAATGACAACAAAAGCTTTTTTTCCCCACTATTTCTAATTCTGAAGATGTTAGAGTAGCTTTTTAAACCTTAATGGCCAAAAAAAAGTCCTTGATCCGTTATGGATCCCAGATGGCCGATGCCCCCTTGAACTGGATTTAGACAAAAATCAATTTTTAGGTTGCTTACAAATTATTATACATGTTATACATGTTATAGCTTTCAATAAAAACTTTTTTAAATATTTTTTTATTTATCAGTTCATGGATATTGGTAATTTTTTTACAATTTATTTTATAAATCTAGAATGATTTTAGGTTGGCATTGTATAATGTGTGACAGACATTGGTGACTTCCAGCTAATAAAAGACAGAAATGACACTTTTATGAACTTAACTGTATTGTCTCTAAAAGCGCCACTGCACTATTATACTATTTACTCTGCCGTCATTTTCTTTTTCAAGGTGAAACAAAAAAGGTTTCGGTTTCTTTCTGAGTTTGAGTTCATGTGTTATGCTGTTCTTTCTGCACTGCACGATGAACTGTCATTTTTAAATGGTCATTTGTCAGGATCCTCTAAAAACATTCACTCACTCATCCATTCATCAAAATGATGTTTACCCCTGGGAGTCAGAAAACATGGAGCATATCAACACACATCCCTGCACGGGGATTCCAGAGTTCTCTGCACCGCACAGTGTCTGCAAGACTACCTTGTGTTGGTATTTGTTGGAGGCTTTTGGATTTCAATATCTATTGTTGTTGGGTGAACAGAATTTTTTTTATCTGTAACTGTACTTTACAAAGCATTGCATATGACAGAGATTGAGAATCAAAAGAAAAATTATGCTGTAAATGTGGTTCAGAGCATACGCAGTCAGAGGATGATATTTAGCTAAACTGATGTTTTAATTTAACACTGCTTATAACCTCAAACTGTTATATATTTTTTTACAGTGTGTGTTGTGACTTGTTGTATGTGTTGGTTCTTGTGAGCTCACCATCTTCTAGTGTGGTAGCATTGATCTCTGTGCTTGAAGGCCCAGTACCAGCTCTGTTGAAGGCCTGGACCACCACACCATACTGGGCAAACTTCTTCAAATTGTCCAGGGTGTAGACCTCACTGTCTCCAGTGGCCTTCATCTCCACAATGCTGTACTGACCATTGCTGCCTGGGCCATTCTCTCGGTAACCAATCTGGTAACCTCGGATCACTCCATTCTGCAGCTCCTTCCTTGGAGCCTGTGCAACAATGTGAATTGATTATTTTCTAACTATTCTATGACACACATCACAATAAAAATAGACAACGAATTTAGAAAAAAAGCAAAGCAAAGCCACATAACAGGTAAAAATTTACAGAAAGCAGAGTAAATACATAAACTAATTTACCTTCCATGTGACTCTGATACTCTGAGAGGTCACTGGCTGAAGGATTACCTCCATTGGCGGCCCATCAGGCTCTACAGAAGTGGACAAAAAAGGGTCTGAGCAAAAGCATTCTACTAAAACAGAAACAACATTATTTGCCTTTTCTGAGTTCAGAGATTGTAATTTCCGGAAAAATATTAAGTCTACAAGTAACAAAGGCCTTTTCATTCTCCATAAATTGTCCTGTGTCGCTGGGATACCAGGTCAAATTCCTGTGTACATTTGGTCAATAAAGCGATTTCTGCTTCTAATTCTGATTAAGCTTAGACAAACATTCAGTTCAAAATACATTTTCAAGGACAGATTTCAAAACAAATGCCAACACAATGCAAAAGGAAAATGCTTGCTTGCATTCACTTTTGCAGAAAGAAGTGCCTTCAAAAAACTTACGCGCTTCCTCTGTACTTATTGTAAGCTCCTTGCTGGCCTCACTCTTGCCAATTACATTGTAAGAGTACATGCGAATGCTGTACACAGAGGCAGGGTGTAGGTCCACTATGTTGGCCTGATTGTTTGTAGGAGAGATGTTTCGGGTTGCATGCTTAAGTTCCCAGGAATCTGACAAACAGAGAAGTATTGAAGTTTTTATTTTATGGCATTATTTTCAAATGATTTAAAAATTGGGCATTTTAAGTTGCTTTTGATTGGTTTCAGTAAAAAATAAGAGGAACATAAAGATGTGCATTGCTTACCTGTTTTGTTTTTATATTCAATATCATAGGAAGAAATAACGCTGTTTCCATCAAACCTCTGAGTCCACCTGAGATTCATACTACGATCTTTTACTTCTCGCACCTCCAGTTCTGGAGGGTCTGGAGGCTCTGCAGATTTTTAAAAAAGCAAAGCAAGAGAGAAGTATGAGGAGAAGGAACATAAAGGGAAAATATTTTGGAGACAGCAAGGCAAGAATGAGTGTTTCTTTTCTGAATTTCAAAAGGACATGGCGCAGTGCATGCCTTTGGGCATGATAGGATACCTTGCACGGTTAGCTGGATAAGGCCGCGCCCCTCTCCGTAAGAGTTGATAGCATGACAAGAGAAGAAGACTGAATCCTCACGCTCTGCTGGCTTTAGCTGCAGTGACAAAAACCAAAGAAAATGTCAAAGAAACATCTTTGTGCTGACAAATGATTTAAAAGCACGATGATGACATTCATGATAGAGAAGGGCCCTGATGAGGGTTTTTTCCTTTTAGGTAAACTATTTCAAGTGGGTGACACCGCACTACATTGCATAGAAAGTGCAATTGTAGAAAATTTGGAAAACTTATCTTCTCTTGGAGGACACAAGAGACAAGAGACACAAGATTTCGTTTCCGAAGACGAACTGGTCATGAAAGACTCCCTATACAGTAGAGTTCCTTAAAAACCAATTACTTCCATTATAGCTTAATCCCATACCATAATACTGCAATAGATCAGTGCTTAGTTGTCAATGGAGTCTGTTATGAACACAACAAAATAAGTCCAGATAATAACACAAACATCTAAGTAATGTGAAGAAAAGTAATGGCATATTGACATAAAAAGGAATGTCCGTAAAACTGACTTACATTCACGGCTAAATTTCTCTCACTAAGCAGAAAAAAATGCAATCTGTATAATAAGGTAATAATTTTCCCCTTAGAATTTATTAAATTTAGAACGTGATTAGCAGGTAGATCTGATTTTTACTTTTTGTCATTTTCAAATGATTAAATTTCTTACAAATTTGTTTATGGAATTTTTTTCTTCTTCCAATAATCACCTTTAAAAATAAATGCCCATTTTTTCCCTCAATGTGTTGCAATAACAGAGTTTTCTTTTTCACAAAAAGTATTGTGAACAAATCCATTCCTTTTTTGGCACGGGAAATTAGCCATATCATGTCCAGTCCTTTACTGTTAAAGATTTAAACATTCTAAAGTCCTGCAGTTTCTTGTCTCTGCATCCTTTAGCAAGTATCAACTGCAACTTTAAAATGCTAAACCATTAAAATCAAGGTTTTATCTGAATAGAAGACGGTTCTCCATTTTGCCGCAGTCTCTCTCAAACTGGATTAGACTTGGTAGGGATTGCACAGTCGGGCAGGGCTGCTGTTGGGATTTTAACTTACTAATGTGAGCTGACTAGTTTTAGGAGGTGATTTGGAGCACACACATTGATTTATGATTTGTGCCAATGCAAAAAGAAGGCATAATGATGATGATAACCATAAAATTCTTTGGTAATTTTCTGTACTTCGCAAACACTTCCGAAAATAAATTCCTCATAGGCTTTAGCATTCTCCTTTGTTGTTTCTTTTTTTCCCCTTAATGAATAAAATTCCCAGTAAAGTGTCAAAATTATACCTAATTGTTTTGTGAGGAACAAAAGTTTCAACTTTAATATTCTCTATGCTGTCTTTGAGAACCTTTTCAATTAAATGTAATGTCTGAATCTTTATTTGGTTTTCATTTACAGTCAATCAACATCAGAGCAGAAAGCTGTTGGCAACAGAGGCATCCTGTATGTAATAAGTCCCTGCCAGTTTGAGGAAAACAGCACATGTCAACAGCCCCATCACACAGTTCACTTTATATCCACCTCAAGCAATGCAAATACTAGAGGACACATGTCACATTAGAGCACACTTTGCATCAAGTCTGCTAAGAATCATTAGACAAATGAGTAGAACCGTAGAATAAATGAAATAAGTAAATTCAAATCTATTTGTAAATAAGGTAAGAGTTGCGAAGCACTGCTGTCTGTTTTCTAGATACTCGACTATATATGTGTTTTTTACCTTGAGTGTGGACAGCACCTCATCTGTCTTTTCATTGGGACTAGTGGTTATGGAGTAACGGGGGTTTCGGTCAGGGTCAATGACCGTGTCGCCTCTTTCCCATCGGATGATGATGGGCCATTCTCCCCTTGCTGTGCAGTTCAGCTCCTTCACATGACCCTTCTTAGCCATAGTAGTGTTGGGGTGACTGGTGATCATTGCTGGGACTGGAAGGAGAGGGGAAATGGAGTGTGAGATGAAGAGAAGGTGAGGACAAATGGGGTGAAACAGAGAGAGATGGTAACAGTAAACAGATTGATGAGCGGGATGTTAGATGACAGAGGCAGATAGAAGAGGGGTTAGAGGAGGAAAATAAGGAGTATAATAAGCAAAAACTAAGTGGAAAGGGTAAAAAAGTGAAAGAATGAGAAGAAAATGTAGCATAATTGCAACTAAAAAAGCAGGGTGCAGAGTATCTGAGTTCCATTGCAGTCGAGTAATGAAGAGCTGTGGTCAATGAGGTAAAGTCAATAAACCTCCTTTCTAATTCTCTAATAGTTAACATTGGGGTCTAGGTGAATGAAGAGGAAAAAACGATACACTCTCCCTTTCGTGTACACTCTATCCACATGTCCCTCCCGCACACAGTACTCTCAGTGCTACATAAGCACACTCATTTGCGCACAAACTCATACACACACGATATCGATCTGAGGAGGGTTCTGCTGTTTTGTTTTCATCACTTATTCATCTCACCCTCCCTCTTTTCCGCTTTTCCTTATTCTCCACTGAGCAAAACAGACAGAATTGAAGGAGGCAGAGGAGAGGAACAGTTCAATCAATAACACTAACACTAGAAGGAGAAAGAGGGAGTGCATTGGAGACAAGCAGCTTTGTGATAGACACACACGGTGGGAATCGTAGATATTCATGTGCACCTTATTATACGTATTCTGCTGCACAGGTTTTGAAAGATGCAAGAAATTAAGCCTAAAACTTTTTTTGTGATTACAGTTCATTTGGAAGATAAATGTACCACATAAATTGGCCTTTTAGGATCTCCCACTTGATGTGTATCATCATTCTCCAGTGCATTCTCGCATGACATAACCCAGGGTGTTACTGACAGAAAGGGCAGGATACAGAGATTGATTGCAGATAATGATTAAGCTCAAAGTCTTTTTGATTGTCTTTAGATAGTTCCCATGAGTCAAAAGATCAATTGCTCAGTTGCTTTGACTCTGCCTACCACAGATGTGTGCACAGGGCAGTCTGTCTTGCTGCTCCTTATGACTTTTCTCTTATGCTCATGGTCACCTTTTGCTCCGCCAATCTATCGCTGTGTGTATGTTTGTTCATACCCACAGGGACAGTATTGTGAACTGGCTCATTGGTTTGACACAGTTAGTGCATGAAGGCTAATAAATTGAGAGCACCAGTGCATCATATACAGTAGACGGCCTAACTGCAGACATCTATAAATACAAAAACCTACCCAGTGGCTTATTGTCCCACGTGTATTTGAATACTCACTCTTAACTGTGAGGATCATACTTTTGCTGATGTCTGAGCCCACCCCGTTGGAAGCCTGGCAGAGGTAAAGGCCACGATCCTCTTCCAAGACATGTCTTATCAGTAGAGAGCCATTCCCCATGATCTGAATACGCCCTGTCAGAGGCACAGGGTGGTACTGCTGTGGGTTTCCAATACCAACTGGACAAAAGAGGAAAAAAGTCAGCACAGGGACATGTCATTATGATAAAGTGACTTTGCTCCATCTGCATTTGAAGAAAATTCACATTGGATGATATAAATCAAAGAACATAAGAAAAGGGAGAGAAAAGCTGACAGAGACACATCGGATACAGGCATAACGGATAAAAGATGGGTCATGTACCTAGTGCACTTTTGGCATGCTTCCACATAACCTTAGGAGGGGGATATCCATCAACAGAACAGTTCAGGATCGCTGCTTTTCCATAGATCCCATCCTGGTTGTTGGGCTGTACAACAAACCGAGGAGGTACTGGAAACAAATGAAGGAATCAATTAATAAAAGGACTCTGCTGCATCAAATCGCATTTTGCTCATTTCACCTACCAGATGGTTTAAGCTTAATTAGTAATACTAAATATCTGCTGTAATTTGCTAATCCCTTTTAATGTTTCATATCTTGCAGCATTCTTACCTGTAACGGTGAGCTGCCTCTCCGTGCTGACAGTGGCAGCATCATTGCTTGCAATGCAAGTGTAGTTGCCATTGTGTTTGAGTGACACCATGGTTATCTGGAGGGAGCTCATGAACTCCTTTGTGTCAATGGTGATCCCTGAAGAGGGGACAATCTCCTGGCCATCCTTGCGCCACGTGATGCGTATGGGCTTGTCTCCAGACGACACCACGCAGGCGATGTACATCAGTTTTCCGATGGACGTTGGGGGAAAGTCAAACGGTTGGATCAGTGGGGGCACTGGGACAGACAGAGAACGAGAAGAAAAAATTTAAGAAATGAAAGAATGAAAGAAAGAAATAGGAACGATAAAGGAAGCAGAGTGATAAAGGGGAAGACGTACATAGAGAAAGAGAGGGTATGTACCAATGTTAAAAAAGGAATGCAAGAGGACGCAGCTTCATGAAAAGATAACGTAAAAAGGACAGAAATGGAAGATAAAATGATGAAAAGGAGAAGAAGCAAGGATGCAGAAAAATACAAGTATAGCGAATGGGGAGAAAGATTGAGACAATAAAAAAGCTAAACAGTATGGACATAAAAGCAGAATAAAAGTAGAGGGTTGTTTAATTGAGTGGGGTGAGTAACAGGGAAGACAGAAATACAAACCGGATATGAGTAAATGAAGGATAGACACAAAAAGTCAGAAATAAAGGCACAGGGAATATTTGGTTTAAAAGAAGCAGTTTTTAAAATTCAGGGACATCAAGAGGTAATGTGGTGGGAGGGTAAATTGTGGAAAGAAATAATATGTGGAATATTGAAAAGGATCACAAGATCAGCAACAGGACCAAAACGCTGTTAGCATTTTAAGGTTTTTAAAATCCCTCATGCTCACCTAGAGTCTATTTAGTAAATATTTATCCAGCTTTGCTGCCCGGTATGTCCAGTGCTTTCTCTGGGCCTTGACCCCCAAATCTTTTACACCACTGTACTTTGGCCTACCAGCCCACCATCCAATCCACAGTTGCCTGTGGCCTTTACCAACCCCTACACTCATCGCCACCCCGCCCTGCTAAAACCAGCCCATAATAGCTGCTCTAATTAGAGCCCCATCCACAGGGGGAAGAACAGTGTTACCATGGATACTGTCTATGGTAGGTGACGGTTTGAAGAGGGGGGTGAGGGGAGGTTGTTGGGATGTGGGGGGGTCACAGCTGCGACATCTGGGGTTTTTAATCTGGGCCTCGTTAAAATTCATCTAATTAAATCAGGGACATGATGAGCACACATTCATACAAATACATACCTGCATTCAAATACAGCAAATGTGTGCACGTGAGCACCTATATACATTCATGTTAGCCTACTCAGATGTGTGTGAACAGTACAATAAGGAATGAGAACTGAAGTAATAATGTCAAACATAAAAATATGTAAATCTACTGGAATTGTGAACAAAGTGAAACAACATTAAAGACTGAATATCTATAACACACACGTGTCATTCACACACATGTATGCAAAATAATGTCATATACACGACACATTTCATACAATAGCTGTCCTGCTCTATATAATTGCTGAGTGGTTGAGACTGCTCCGCCCCTTAATCAGGGGTTATTAAAGGCAACCCATACAGCTTTGTTCTTTCAACTCACTCTGTTTCACTCACACTCTCATGTGCCAAACCACTGTTAATCAGTTCCTTTCATCACAGTCAAACAGCGCTAGATTCATACAGAGTATCATCCCTTTTTGTTTTACTTTCATTATCTTTTTTTTTTGGTGACTTTGCAGTGAATGACAGCACTAACAAACTACACCTACCACTTGAATTTTAAGAAGATGATTTTTCAAAAGCATTTAGGACTAGGGATACCTAACAAAACCTGAAGCTGGCCAGGACACTATATAATATAGACTTTGAGCATGAAGAGCAGGACTCAGAATGTTAACAACATCCCTCAAAATCACCCCTTAGAAAATGAATTGACATGAACACTGGCTTCTACAGGAGGACTTACATTATCTGTAGAAGGAATAAGACTGAGCACAGTAGTAGACATGAAAGGGGGAATTCTCTGGTCACCTCAGCTGAGCACTGGAAGGCGGAAAACCACTGGATAAAATTTCTGACTCAGGCAATGTGTTGCCAGGCTTCCCCTGAGTCCTGATAAGCTACACTCTTGTGGTTGAATACTGTAGATGCCCCAGTTTGCTCCCTTGACTCTGAGAAATACACCCAAAGCACATCTGTGGTTGCTCAAAGGCCTTTGGAGACTCCTGCTAATGCTAGTCCAAAAATAAGGTCCCAAAAAGGGGGAAAGATGGAAAAAAAAATCAATTTTCCTAGGATTTAAGAGAAAACCTGCTCTAGCCATATATACATATATAGATACATACATATATGTGTGTGTGTGTGTACTGTAAACTGTTAGAGAATGATATAGACAGTATTCTATTTTTATTTTAGAGACCATATAAAACTTGTCCAACTGCAAAAGCATTTGGGAACATCAGTATTGTGACTGACCTTTGACAGTGACGTAAACCGTCTGTGTGATGAATAGCTGGGGTTGGATCAGCACGCTGCAGACATAGGCCCCCTCGTCCATCCCCTTCTGAACATCGCTGAGCTTTAGGGTCCCGTTCTCAAACACCCCCTGGACAAACACCAGCATGACTCATTCCACCCAATCATCCGATAAATGGCAAAAAGACCATAAATGACATGATGTTAAGTTTAAATTGTGGCTGACACTAATGAAAAGAAAATTCCAAAAATTTGTTTTGATACTTTATTGTCATCTCTAGAAAAACATATTTTCATTCTGAAAAATATTATTCCGTCACATTGACAATTCAAATAAAAACAAATCACAGTACAGTAAATTACTAATTATGAACCATCTTTATAGGGCTGTCATTGTCCATTTCAACAAGATACCTGATTTTTCTATATGTAAAGACAAAAGTTCCTCTACAATAATGTCTGCAGCCAAGAACCTTTATTATTGCAGAGCAATGTCAATGCTCATCTATATTTTTGTTATTTTTATTGAATCTAGGGTGAGAAAAAATGAACCTGGCGATGGTTGTCTGGAAGCAGAAGTCCCTCCTTGTACCAGTTGATTGAATAGTAAGGGTACCCAATTACACGGCAGCTTATGAAACTGTTTCTTCCTGCCACTGCAGTGATATTCTTCATAGGCCGAATCCTTGGCGGGCCTGATCGATAAAAAGAGGGAAATAGGGAGAAAAATGTAGAAAGAGATAGAAAGATGTAATCAGATGAAGAAAAAAGAGGGGGAAAGAAGATTATTAGTTTATGGTGTCCGAAACCAGGTCATGGAAATTGAGGAATAAAGGAGAAGGTTGACAGGGAAGGGAGTTTGGGAAAAGGAGTAGAGAGAAGTGGAGAGAAGCATGTAGGGGTGAAGGGGTAGAGTATCCAGCCTCAATGTTAAAGGCCATTTCAGCTCTAAATATGCAGTAAAGGAGCCAAACACTTGTGACCAATACTGCTAGTTTTAAGTCACCTGCACATCCACTTGTCTTAGCCTTCTGTAAAAAAAATCTGTTTATCTGTTTATCTCCCTAATTTATCATAGCTTTATAGCTGCCTATTTGTTCACTTGGTTCTCAAATGTTATCTTAAATATTTCCAGTTCCCCAGTGCTAGTTTATAGAGAAACTGTAAAGCTGAATGTCGTACAATTTGGCTGAGGTACATGGTGCACATATGCATCACAATGTTTAGAATGACTAAAAAAGAAGTTAAAAATACTACAGGTTGTGAATGGGGGATGTAAAAAAAGCACATGGCATTGTTGGATGACGGTAGGAGCCAACACACAGTCATCTATCATACCTTCTCATCATTGTTCATCGTGAATCTTTGTTTTTTAAAATTTTCTCAGCTGTCCTACCCCCACTTCACTTGGTCTTTTTCTCTCCTGTCTTTTCTCAGCTAGTGCTGAGCTTTGAAGCCACAGCTTTGATGAGTCAAAGATGTATTATTCAGTGGTGCAGTTTCACATTCACACACACATGCTGACATACACGGAAGTAGACATCATATAAACATATGAGTCAATATCTAATTGTTCTTGCTGGTGGTTTTCTAGTAGTGAATGGTATTAGTTAGTACTCTGTTATGCTAGCATGTTTTTTCCCTTCCTAATTCTTCGGTTATGGAGATGTGGGTCCCTCGATGTGAGTGTAAGTTGGCAGCTTTAGACAGTTTGTGTTGCGGGCATGGCTAAACCTCTGTCTATGGAGCATGTTCTCACTCCAGTGATCATTTTGGCATGTCTGCTTAGAGCAGACTCACATGTCACAACTACACAAGGACAGAGAAAAGAGACGAAAACTCGAGACATAGAGACGGTGATCCAGCCCTGTCCGTCGGTGTCACTGCTCATGCTTGTCATCTCAGACGACAGTGACATCACCACTTCTGTCACCAGAGTTTACAATCAGTCCCTCCACAGACACATACACTCTTCTCATCTTCATCCTTCCTCGTTTTTCATCTACTTCTCTACTGTTAGAGAGAAGGCTAAGTTTATTTAGCCTTCTCCCTCACTTTTTTCTCTTTTTGGCTTCTCTGCTTCACAGTAAATAACGCCACATTTACAGTTTACTTTTTAACTTCTTCTACCGGGATATGTGTGTATGTAACAGTTCCCAGTGGTGGGCAATGCACTCGTATTTATTTTCTGTCATATTACGTCTGTCCTGTTTACATTTTTGTACATTCGCACAGTTATATTAGATCACATGCAGAGGGCTTGAGGAGGCGCTCTACGCAGAATGAAAGAGAGGAGACAGACAACATAAATGGATTACTGGAGATATAAGACACAGACTTCTGCACACCAATGACGTTTAGACATAAGTTGGACAGAAAAAACAAAAACATAAAAACATAACAGGAATAAAACTGAAGGTATACGGATGAAAAAAGCAAAACACAAAGAGAAAGGTAGAGCCATAGAAGGGGTTTTGGTCAGGGTGGGGAGGGGGGCAGGCTATGAGAAGCCTCTGTATGACTGATATTGAAAAGTAGACAGGCACCTCTTACGTTTATGCGCGCTTGGTACTCGGCACTACCAGCCGAGTTTCGTGCGGCGCACCGATACACTCCTCCATCTCGAATCTGTGGGCTGCTGACGTTGACGTGGCTCACGGTGCTGCCATCGGAGAGCGTGAACTGACTGGCTCTGACGCGCGACAGGTCCCTGGCCACAGGCTCATCGTCCAGGGTCCAGGTGATGGTGGGCGGAGGTGCTCCTTTAGCGGCGCACATCAGGGAAAACGGCTCACCTGGGACCACCACTCTTTCACTGAAGGAGGCAACAATACGGGGTGTCCCATCTAGAAATGAATCAAAATGGGTGATTAGAAGTGGATTGAGGATATATCAAGGACAAATGTAAACTGTCATTTAAACAATGATAAGAAGTTTGCATTCTTTGAAAATATACTCCACAATATGATTGCTGAACTTGATAGCAGTTTTTTTGTCATCTCCAATATCAATTTTTGTTTTCAAACTCCCAACAGTTTTAGGCCCCCGCCCCACAAAGTTGTTGTGTTATTGATTAGTTTGCTTGTGTAAATCAATATTAAGCTACTGAATTTCAGTCTAATACATTCATTAAGTGAATGAAACAAAAAACTGTGCTACAAATGAGGCATTTTCTTTGTAGTGCTGTACTGTTGTTCATTTAAAAGCTTTGCAGATATTTTGCATGCATGTAAACTTAATAAAATGAGATTCTTGAACAATCCTCACATGCAATCTATTCAACATTATTTTAACTCCTCATTGATGTCACTTTTTGACTTTCAATAGGTTCCGCATGTGAGCAGATTTCAAAGTGACCGCTCACTCTCACATATGCGAGCATATAATAACGTCCTGCCATCTTGAAGAATGTGCATATGTACTGTAAACCCTACTTTAATTTAGAAAACATGTGAAACCTTACAATAACGTTGTTAAGTATTATACCATGGCAACCCTTGTGTTATGAACATACATAAAAACTCTTCTGTAATCACCTTCTAACAGTATGATGGAGAAATCCTGGGCAGTCTGGCCTTTTCGCGTGGCAAAGCACTGGTAGGCTCCAGAGTGTCTCTTTTGTGCAGCAGAAATAAACAGAGTCTCATTGTGAGCTCCTTGGATGGAAAAGTGCTGATCGGGCAGGACAGGTTCTGTGTTGCGGTACCAGGACACTGTAAAATGGGGGGAACCTTGGACTGCACAAGACAGTATGACGGTGCTGCTTATTCCTGTCTTCAGGTTCTTGGGAGACAGGGTAACGCGCAGTGGCTCTGCAGATTGAATGAGCAAAGTTAGATGATAATAGACAATAAGATAAACACAAAGAAGCTGAAGTCTAATTATTCAAGGCAAAAAAGCTGATATTTGTCAGCACTCAAGGTCATCAGGATGAACATTATGCACAATGCTGAATGAAATGAATTTCTAGTTGAGTTGTGCTGAGCCGGCCAGGCAACACAAATCGCAAACACAAATTCTGGTGTGGTAAGATTGTGTCTGTGTGTCAATTCCTCTGCTGGCTTTGTATGTGCGAGTGTGTGTGAGAATGATTGAGTGTGTGTGCTAAGCAGCCAGGAAAACTGAGACTGAGAGACAGAAAAGGGGAGAAAATGTCAGTGAGCAATAAAGCAGCTGGTGTTAAGAGCTGGAGGCTGCTGCATGTGTATTAGCATGTGTGTCTGTGGGACAGTTCATCTGCGAGTGGACCATTTTCATCATGGGCCATGGGTACTGTGTGTGTGTCAGTATTTGAATGTGCATCTCACCTCGCACTGCCCGTCATTGATGGTTTGTAGGCTGAGCAGCGATATGCCCTGTGGCCATTCAGCCCAGCATCTACAACCTGTCTCTTCTTCCAAACAACTCTTAAATTTTGTTTTTTACCACCTCCACAAGTAACCCCCTACATGTTTTTTCAAAAGTCCACCATGTTCCTTTTGTGTGTCTTTTTTTCCATTAAGACAGATCGCATCAGTACATTATAAGATGCTGATTTTACATCCTGTGTAAATGGCATGACGAACGTACATGACAATTGGACCTTTCTGTTACCATAGCGGCACGTCCCTAAGTTTTTGAGAGCATTGTTGGGAGGAAGTCATCCTTGAAGATAAGGCCCATGCTAGTCCCAGAAAAAGGTTGGTCATGACGCAGCTTGTGAAAATGAAAAATGTTCAACCTTCCCCCCCCATTTACATGTTGTTCACATTCATTAATTGGAATAGATCAGTTATGGTAAAAAAAAACTAAACAAGCGCTCAATTACAATTTTTCCACCTTTTTTACGTACCTATGATGTTGAGGTGACCTGTCACCTCTTTGGAGCCAAAGCTGTTGATGACCTCACAAATGTAGTTGCCACTGTCTTCAAGTCTCAAGTCGGAAATGGTGAGACCAGTGATGCGCCGTGTCCAGCGGGAGTCAGCTGGTAATGGCCGACCATCCTTCAGCCATCGGATGGTGGGGTTAGGATATCCGGAGGCGATGCACGGCAGCTCTACACTGTGCCCCACCTGCACCTCACCGGATTGGAAACTGTCCAGCTCAGACGGGGTGGACTCCGTAGGGTCTGGAAATGATCAAAGTATATTGGATTTTCATCTGAATGTTCAGCCTGTCCGCGGACTCCAGAACCTAAAACCATCTGACATTTCTATGACACAAAAATGGTGAAAAACTGAACTGGTGAAAATACTTCTGTTAACACAAAAGAACTTGTTGCCTACCCATAACAGAGAGCCTGGCTCCATTGCTCTGACGAGTCTCTCCACTGTACTTGTGCTTTGTGATGCAGCGGTAGGTGGAAAGAGCATCTTCCTTCTGCACTTCTGAGATATACAGAGCGCCGAATGACGTCAGGAAGAAACGGTTACCTGTGAAGGACAACAGACAAACTGTCAGAGGGGAGAATTACAGAGTTAGTCATGTACGATACACAATTTATTACTGTAAATGTTGCAAATGTCTGCGTCATGAAATTCCAGACACTCTGAAAAAGGAATAGAGCCGAGAAAAAAATTGAGCTGAGGGAAGACAACTCGGGTGAGTCCTTTCTATTAGGATACCTCCTGGTCACCTCTCTTCAGAGGTATTTAAGGTATGTTCAGCATGGAGCCCTGTTGAAGACCCAAAACTTGCTGAATGGATTATATATCCCTTCTGGTCTGAAAACACTTTAGGATCTCTCAAATTGGAGTTATTGGGTGTTTCTAGGGAGACGGACTTCTGAGTTCTCCATAATCAACTTGTTGCTTCTCCTCAGATCAGTGAAAGACAATGGATGGGTGGATGTTTCAAAAGCCCCAACACAGCACTTTGCTAAACACATTGGTGCTTTTAAGAGACTCTGAGCCATTCAATTTGTGAAATATACTCACTACAGAAAGACAGATGAGAAGAAAAGAGAATGAACGAGGAGAATGGGAGATGTTAATAATTGATGTGTCTGTGCTTGTTATGGTAACAGCAGATGAGTGTAATTTTTATTTCACATCAGTGACTGCTTGGTCTGCCTCTGATTTATCTGTTCGTCAATAGATAGTACAGTTTTTGCACATATGTGTGAGAGAGAAGAAAAAAATGGGAAGACGATCGGGGAAATATTTCCCAGCCTTTTTTCTGTATCTTTCATCTTTACTGTCTGGCCAAAAGAAAATCAGCCTAATCCTAAAAAGATTTTCAGAAGGCACTCTGTCACCAGGTTATCCATGTGGTTCCATATTAGGTGTCTTGCCTTTATGTTAAGGTTACCATGGCTTTCTAGTAGGGCTCTGTACCCATTCTTGGAGGGTGGCGATGTTATCTCTTCCCCGACCAGTCATCCTGCCAACCCTCCACCTCACCATTTTGTCATGTTATTAATCCCTCGTTGCAATAGCAGACTCAATTTACAAACACCTGAACAAAGTTGGAAGTTTTTTCTTTCTTTGTTAAATGTTGGATTTAGTATGCATGTATCCCTTTCACCCTGGACTGTTGGAATAGTAGGCTTCCCACAAGGTTAGAGTCTTTCCACATTAAAATGTCTTGTTCCCATCGCTCATTTGTTATCAGCATGGCCTAATCTCCCAGTACCTGATACCAAGCTTGTTAATCCATGCAGCGACATAGAAATGGGGGACATGGTGACTTATTTACATATACAGACACCTACAAGCAATAGGTCAGCCACTACAGTTCCACCACAGCTGATTTAAATTCATTTATTGAGCTCACTGCTGGAGATGTTCAGATACTGATCAAATGAACCAATTATAATGTGCACAGATTCCTTCTAGTGCAAAGTTCCTTACATGTTGGTAGTAAATTATCTACATTTCTCAGGTCTATTTCTACATTTTTGATCAGACAGACAAAATTATTGAGATGATATTCATCATGCCAGTGACTGTATGTAACTGTTCTGTGAAAAGAGCATTAAAGGATTTTATTCCTTATTTATTTAGACAAGATTAACCAGGCACCTCGCCCGACATACACATACACGATAATAAGATGCTATGACAGATATTAGGGACAATACTTTGTCACCCATTTACATAAATCAGTCTTATTACTTTTTCAACTAAAGTACATTATTTTGTGTAAATGAAGCCCTGCATTTCCATGTATTAAGTATGAAAATTGAAACTCAACTAAGACCCTTTGCATGAGTCTTTCTGTTCAATTAGAATTGATTAGGAGAAAAAAATACTAAGTTTATAACAAATGCAACATTTATTGGTTAATTTCACATCTGCAAATCATGAAAATAGAAGAAACAAAGTTTTAAATAAACCAATTATAGGTTTTACTACGTGTGCGTATGTGTTCCTTCCTATGCAGACACATATGCGAGTGTCAGCCAGTGCATTTGCATGCATAAAGTTCACACGCACGTGTTTTCATGTGAGTCAGACTGTTGTGCTGAGTGCTAAGCGACGTAAGCTGTAATTTCAAAGCCTGCCCTTTTGTTCCAACCTGGGTATTACGCCTTACAGGATAATATGCACTTGGCGAGTGGAACCCTGTATAACACACTGCTACACCCTGTCACAACATGCCAAGACAGAGAAAGACACACCACAAGGGGGTGATGGGGGTGAGCTGAGTAAGAAATTCAGAGCCTGTTAAGAACGGAGACAAAGAAAGCGATCCAGGGGAACATTAGTGAAAAGGAACTTGTCAACAGTGGCTATGACTGAAAGTTATTCCATCACTCCTCCATTTTTCTATTCTGTTCTTTTCTCCCTTGTTCAGATTTTGCCTGTAAGACGCACAGTTGCAAATTTACATCACTTTTAAAAATTCTAAAAAAAGGCCTGAACATTTTTTTTTTCTTTCTTAAAACACCATTTGCATAGTAAATGGGTGCTATTGTTTGTCCTCACAATGCTAATGGGCAGACCAAGTTCTTATAGGTCCGGATATGGCCTTGAACTCATTTGAACTATTGTGAATTTGTAACTGTGGGTCTTACAGGAAAAGTGATTCCTTCACTAATTTTTTTATGTACTAAAGAAAGTCTATGATCCTACACTTAAACGCCTTCGATATTTGTTTAAATTACTTGTCAGGAATGTGCTATTTGAATAATTTAGGATTACAAAAAATTAACATTCGCCTTTTTAATTAAAAAAAAAACTAAAATTATTGTGTTTCTCAAAACATCTCAAATCATACTTTACTTTTCATATGAAAATAAGCTAGAGTCTAAATGCTTTTTTACTTTTACATTTAGTCAAATTGACATAAAAAAGACTACTGACATCATTTATGATGTGAATTCTACAAAATGAAAGTTTCTACTGACTTTGCTAATGACAAACTGGATTCTCATTATTTATGATTAATCATTATACAGGAAAAAAAGTAGTCACCATTAACAACCTGGCAAAATAACAACAAATGTTGCTTTACTATATAACAAAATCAATATTTAGGACTGGCAATATTAATTCTATTGGTGTGCTGAATGGTATGTTTGGTCCCTGTTCTGTAGAGTTGAGTCAGGAAAGGTTGGACAATAATCTAACTACTGTTTTGTATAAAATGTGATCAGGGTTAACTTTTTATGGTGCATTTTATTTTTCCTCTCTATTATGAAAAGGGAGGGAGCTTTTGATATTGCAGTACATCTCAATCAAAAAACAAATACACACATTAGATGATGGGAGATCTGAAGAACACTGTTCACCAAGGAAATGATAGAAAGTCTGACTACAACATAGACTGTACCACTGGTATGTAAGTGAAGGGAGCATCAGAAAACTTCAACAAAATGACAACATCTATATTTTCTGCTTTTATTTAATTTCTAGTCACTGCCTGCCCTCCTGCTGTCTGAGGAGATGAGACACACCTAAACATAGGAGAGGGGTGCAGGCCGCAATGGAGGGAGGCAGCGTTGTAGCAAAAGGGTCTGGCCCTACAGGGAGGAGGACGGCAGATGGAGATTGATGGAGGGAGAGATAGGGAGATAAAGAGAAACATGCCGTTGGGAGTGACAGAGGAGGGAGTGAGAGTGATGAGGGGCCTACAGGCCTAAGAGCCATACATGAGTAAAAACAATTCTACGTCTTTCTCCATCTCCTTCCTTTGCAAGCCTCTCCTTGTGGGAGAGAAGATCAATTCTCGTCTAGTCTGCCTACGCCTCCAGGAGTTTGTTACTGTGGTTGAGTGTGTGTTTATATGTATTTCTGTCTCTTTTTGTTCCTTTATTTTTTTTTCTGTTGCTGTAGGAAGCCGGTTTAAGAACTCTAAGCATTGTTGTACATCCACTACTTTCCTGACCCTTTTTCTTTAGCCTGTTTTTCTGTCTGCATGACATCTATCCCCATTCCCTGTTTTTCTAGTCTAAAAGACTGAAGGAAGACCACTCCAGTCTTCCTTCAGTCTCTTTTTTAACACTTACTCCATGCTCCTCTTCCTGCTCATTCATGGGGGTCTGTAATAGAATCAGTAAAACTGAGCCTTTTCCTGCCCGAGGCACGAAGTCAAGCTGAGTACAGAATCTGCTGCAGGATTTTTCGTGTGTACGTATGCCTGAATCCCACAGACACATACATGCAAATAATGAGACAGAAAGACAGGAAGGGAGGGAGAGACCTGGTGAAAAAAGGATTATGGAGCCCTGGAGCATCACTTGTCTTGCACAAAGTTCCCCCAGAGAGGGGACACCTCACTTCTTAGTGATGGAGAGGACGGGGAGTGGAGATGGAGAGGATGAAGCTATGAAGGAGGGGTTTAACTAAATAGGCCTCAGACATGTATGGCCACTATTTTCAACAAATTAATGTCAAATAGATGGGGGGAGGAACAGCATCCTGAGAGCCCATAAAGATGGAAAAATGATAATGTTACTAGGAAATATGTAGCCACAAGGGAGGCTTGAAGGAAAAGACAAACAGATCAGACAGGTAACCGAGAAAATATACACATATTTTGCAATGCTGACTAGACCACAGAGTTAAAGAAAAGATTGATATAGATTACACACAGGAGTGAAAGCAAGAAAAGAAGTCATTCAGTGAGAAACAGAGTAGGATAGGAAATGGCGTAAGTAAGGGGGTTTGTTCTTGGTGCTGCCATGCAAATGAAAGTGGCGCTGCAGCAATGCTAACTAACAGCAATTCACACTGTTGGACTCATCACTTATTAATGCTCCACAGCTCCCCCTCCCTCCCATTTCTTTCTCTTTACCCATTCCCCTCTCCCCTGCTCTCACCAGGATCTCTCTTTTTTGTTCGCTCTCTCGCTCGCTGTTGCTAGGGCCCGGGCACTCACGTGACAACAGCTGGGTAGGGGGCGCTGCGGTGGCACACAACGACATAAGCAAGTGTGTGTTTCCCATGTGCCTAGTGTGTGTGTGTGTGTGGGTGTGTGTGTGTGTATGTGTGAGAAGCCTTCATTAGAGGTAAAAA